AGGTGACCTTAAACGTTCGGGTACACTGCTCCTGAATATGTGTGTAAATTTCTGTACACAGCCGTCGAAGCAAACGTAATTACCTGTAATTATTTTCATAACGACATTTCAGCATTTTCCCTCCTTCGACCAAAAGGTACATGAAAAGATTTTAATAGAAAAAAATCAAAATCAACATGTTAGATTACTATGTTAGAAGACAAAAATAAGTCGGAAAGGAACAAAATGACAAATGTAAAACAAATTCAGGCTAGTTTGTACAAACTGAGTGTTGCTTAATTATTTTTGAAAAGCAAGCGGTTGTCGCTGTATTAATGCACTTTTAGACTTCCATGATGTTATTCGTCATGGAAATCCGTCGTGAATTTTCACTTTTTCACAAAGAGCCCAAATCTTTGTGTAGTGTTGTAGAATATGCGAGAAAATTTAGATGATTTTTGTTTTCGATCATTCACAGCTAATACAATAAATTCTGAAAACTAAATTAACAACTAGCAAATAAGAAACTTTCCCTTTTGTATCAAAGATCCTCGTGCAACGATTTTTCCTTTTGATCATTTACAGATGTAACTCAAAGATCTCTGTGCAATTTCCAAGTTAAAAAGCTGATTAACAGTTAAATAGTAAGGAATTACTCACCTCATTTCCACGGTGGCCGTGGCACACCCTCCATCTTCAAATGTTAATTTCCTGTCGTATGTCAGACCCTCGGGAAATGCTTTCTTGAAATAATCAGGAATATCAGCAGGGTACTTAATAAAACATTTGAATCCATACTTCAAGGTCGGTGCCACTATGTCAACGGCGAATGGAAGGGGTCCGCCCTTTGTAACACGGAATGTCCCTGTTTGTTTGCCTCTGAAATATTCAGATGGAAAGGATTCTCGATATGGTAGTATTTCCGAACGAAATCGCTGAAGTAGCATATGGCTATTTTAATATGGTGCGTTTTCATCACATAAGTGACTTGTGTACAATGGTTTCTGGATGAGTTACGAAGTGAAGTTTGGATCTATCTACCATTTTTTCCGAGACATCCATACGCAGATGACGCAAACGGGCGCAAGAAACAACTGAAATAATCAAATTTGCTTTCGTTAGACCAGCAATGTCCACGGAAAAGGAGAGCAGGTCGATCGTTATCTCACATAAACTTACTCGTAAGGTTTGCCAGTGCCTTCTCCTTCGATGGCGAATGCATGACCATTGACACAGCCCTCCATACGCCATGTCATCTTCATGGTATCGGCTAAAACCTGAATATTGGAAGAAAAAGATTTTCTTGAGAGGCACTTAACCCGCCTATTCTATTAGCTATGTAAACTACGGTTCACTTACATGTTTTGAATGAGACATCTTAAAATCCGCTTCGCAAAGTCGAGCAACGAGCACTGTTACCGCCTAAGAGGTGTGTCTTGCAGTTGAATCCAACTGATTGTGAACCTCCTTGGTTTGCCAAATTTATTACGCAAGCCAAACAGACAATGATCAATTGAATGTCTCATCCGTCAGACAATGTGTACACAAATTTATAACCTTTTTCGACAGTTTGTGTAATCTTTGAAGCTTGGCTGTCCGCCCATTTTGGCCTTAGGAATGCCTTTGCCGAAAATATAAATGTTGTCCGTTGCCTGTTTTCATAATAAACTAACAAAGCACGAAGGTTCAATATGGCATGAACAGACTCTCAATTTACAACATCAGTTGACAATGTAATTAAAGAAGTATTACAGACTGTTTTTTTCTTTTTCTTCTGTAATGGAACTCGGTGGAAAGGAGCGATTCCACAGTTCTGGCCTGAAAACACTGGCAGAGTAAATCTCAAGGCTGATAAGTTTTGTAACTATAGACTTAAGTTGCTCTTAGGTATTGAAAGATTTTGGCTAAAACTTCACGGAGGCACCTTAAAAGTTACATAATATTATGCAAAGTAATATAATATAACATTCGGCGGCATCTGGAAAAGCTTTTAACGAATCCTTTGCCCTAAGGGCATCGCCTGAGATCGTTTTAGAAGTTTTAAAAATAACTAACAGCGGTAGCTCGCCGAAAACACTTTAAAACGACGTAAAATGCATGCAGGTAGACAGCCAAGGGTACAACAATGAATATTTCAGAGACAAACAAGCAGGGACATTCCGTGTTACAAAGAGAGGACCCCTTCCATTCGCCTTTGACATACTGGCACCGACCTCTAAGTATGGATTCAAATGATTATCTCTCGTAGGAGGGCAGATGATAAAGGGCGTCTTTTAATAACTACGAGCAACTGAAGTCCAGAGTTATATAACTTACTATCCTTGAAACTTACTCTGCCAGTTTTGCTGGACGGAACTGTGGAATCGCTCGGTTCCACCGAGTTCTATTTCGGAAGAAAAATAAAAAAAACAGTCTGTAATACTTCTTTAATTATATTATTAACTGATGTTGTAAATTTAGAGTCTGTTTATGCCATATTGAACCTTTGTGCTTCGTTAGTTCATTGTAAGAACAGGTCACCGACAACGTTGACATTCTCAGCAAAAGCATTCCCAAGGCCAAAATGGGCGGACAGCCAAGATTCAAAGATTACACAACCTGTCGGAAAGGGTATCAATTTGTGTACACATTGTCTGGCGGATGAGACATTCAATTGATCATTGTCTGTTTGGCTTGTGTAATAAATTTGGCAAACCAAGGAGGTTCACAATCAGTTGGATTCAACTACAAGACACACCTCTTAGGCGGTAACAGTGCTCGTTGCTCGACTTTGCGAAGCGGATTTTAAGATGTCTCATTCAAAACATGTAAGTGAACTGTAGCTGATAGAATAGGTGGGTTAAGTGCCTCTCAAGAAAATCTTTTTCTTCCAATATTCAGGTTTTAGCCGATACCATGAAGATGACATGGCTTATGGAGGGCTGTGTCAATGGTCATGCGTTCACCATCGAAGGAGAAGGCACTGGCAAACCTTACGAGTAAGTTTATGTCAGATAACGATCAACCTGTAAATTGTCCTTTGGCGTGGATGCATTGCTGGTCTAACGAAAGCAAATTTGAGTATTCCAGCTATGCTTCTTGCGGCCGTTTGTGTCATCTGCGTATGGCTGTCTAGGAAAAAATGGTAGATAGATCCAAGCTTCATGTAGTAACTTGTTCAGAAGTCATAGTACGCAAGTCACTTATGTGATGAAAACGCACCAAATTAAAATAGCCATATGCTACTTCAGCGATTTCGTTCGTAAAATACTACCATATCGAGAATCCTTTCCATCTGACTATTTCAGAGGCAAACAAACAGGAACATTCCGTGTTACAAAGGGCGGACCCCTTCCATTCGCCGTTGACATAGTGGCACCGACCTTGAAGTATGGATTCAAATGTTTTATGAAGTACCCTGCTGATATTCCTGACTATTTCAAGCAAGCATTTCCCGAGGGCCTGACATACGACAGGAAATTAACATTTGAAGATGGAGGGTGTGCCTCGGCCACCGTGGAAATGAGGTGAGTAATTCCTTACTATTTAACTAGCAATCGGCTTTTTAACTTGCAGATTGCACAAGGATCTTTGATAAAAAAGGGAACGTTTCTTATTTGCTTGTTGTTAATTTCGATATCAGAATTCACAGTATTATCTGTGAATGATCAAAACAAAAATCATTTAAATTTTCTCGCATATTCTGCAACACTGCACAAAAATTTGGGCTCTCTGTGAAAAAGTGAAATTCACGACGGTTTTCCATGATGAATAACATCATGGAAGCCTCAAAAAAGCATTAATACAGTGACAACCGCTTACTTTTCAAAAATAATAAGGCAACACTCAGTTTGTACAAACTAGCCTAAATTTTTTTTACATTTGTCATTTTGTTACTTTTCGGCTTATTTTTGTCTTCTAACATATAAACCTAACCTGTTGATCTAGATATTTTTTCCATTAAAATCTTGTTACCTCGTAAGGTGGATTCAAAATGTATGTTTTATTTATTTTGCGTCATGAAATGCTTCTTATATCAACAGCCTCAAAGGCAACACTCTTGTGCACAAGACCAATTTTCAAGGAGGTAACTTTCCCATCGACGGGCCTGTCATGCAAAACAGAACGCTTGGCTGGGAACCAACCTCGAAGAAAATGACTCCTTGTGATGGAACAATCAAGGGAGACACTATCATGTACCTTTTAGTCGAAGGAGGGAAAATGCTGAAATGTCGATATGAAAATAATTACAGGTAATTACGCTGGCTTCGACTGCTGTGTACAGACATGTACACATATATTCAAGAGCAGTGCATCCGAACGTTTAAAGTCACCTCAGAGGTTTGTTCGTTCCCCATTCGCCAAATTTGCTCAAGTTTCCGAATTTTGTGATCATAACTTTTCAAAAACACAGCTACATAAAGCTCCAGTTGTGCACATTTCTCTTAATTTATTTTGATCGCTTACGATCATAATTACAAATTTGAGGTTACCAGAGCGTCGAAGTAGATGATACCTAAACTTCTCATTTCAGCAAGAACTCACGGATCATTCTTGTTTTTTTTTTCCTCCAGAGCCAAGAAGGTGATACACGAGATGCCACCGAGCCATTTTGTGGATCTCCGCCTTGTGAAAACCAACCTTGATAAGGAAGGTTTGAAGTTTCAACTGGAAGAACATGCTGTGGCAAGAATCCTCGAGGTTTGAGGTTCTTGTGCTAAAACACAACAAAGGAAGGTGCTTACTAGCGGTAAGTTTGCTCAATTTGATGAGAATTTTCTCCAAGTGACATTGACGAAATCTGCCAAAAAACTTTCCCTATACGTGAAGTTTGTCATGCTGATCATTTTGAAGTCGAAAGTCGGTCATAAAGGTAGTTTCTTCGCTGTTTACACATCTTGTTTCCTGCCCCAAAATTAAATTTAATTGGCAATAGGAAGGGCACAAATATGTTAATCGCCCCACCAAATCTTTGGAAATTCTACTGAAGGAAACGCGATGAATCACACTCGAAAGATTTTTCTTCTTACATCCAAAACGTTTCGTCATAAAACAGAACTTCGCCAAGATTAATACCTAAGCATATGTAAACTTTTTAAACTGTCGTCTTTTTGCAACCTCATCCCGTTGTTTTCTCTTCTGTCGACCTCTTTTTCAGGCGCAGAAGACCTTTGGGTATCACGAGCATCGTTGCTTGATACCCTTGAGTCTACTTATCTAAAAACTGTATCGTTTTATACACCTTTTTAAATAACAATTGTGCGATCGTGTCGATCCGCCATGTTTGTTTTCTATGTTGACGCTTTTAAAGCTCGCGTTACGCTCTCGTCCAGATCACACACGGTCGAAAACTTAAAGAGACTAACCCAATTTCAGTTACGTCCGCTCCATAATTTCGACTTTTATGTTCCAATATATAAATATTAGCCCCATGCGATTACCCTGGCTATTAGTGCGAATATACATGCCACGAAAACACACTTTTATCTCATTTATTCCTGCAACGATCATTACAATATCTTTGCCCGCAAATCCTGCGCTAGTTGCTTAAAGAATAACAAAGGATCATTTCGGAGTTCAGTAGCCAGTCAGAACGCACCTTCAACGCTATCCACTGTTTTAGTGCGTACTTATAAAAGATTAGTATCCTTCCAGTCCAAAATTTTGAACAACTTACTCACTTATGTCAAAAAGTACTCATTCGTTAAAAAATAATGGTAGGATTAAAAACCTTTTAAAAAGTAAAAGATAAATAAAGAATTTTTTTTTTCCAAACTGGATTACAGTTGTACCATCAACGAAAATCCGTAAGTACAAAATAATTATAGGATTAAAAACCTTTTTAAAAGTAATCTTAATACGACCCTAATACTTTTCGTGTAGAGGAGAAATTTCTGGAGTATTTAGCAGAGCTCTGATGATAGATCGGAAAAAAAATATCACTCAAATTGAAAGACCAAAATGAGCTTTACCAACTGAATAACAATAATACCACGCGGAGTCTGGGCAAGAGATAAATAAATAATTTTTTCCCAAACTGCATGGATTACAGGGTACAATTAGCGAAAATCCGTCACGTAGTAATTTCAAATAGTCTTTTAAACAAAAGTGTATTATACTTATAGAGACAAGAAAAAAGGCGGTTTTATCAATACATTATACATCATGTAGTTGCATGATTAGCTGCATGGTTACGTAATGTGGGGCGGGAACGGGGAAATTTTCTTGGGGGAGGGAGGTAGTGATGCATTTAAGTGGTTTTGGTTCGTTTAAGTCGAGCATTAGATTGCGGAAGAAAAAACAAAATCCAGGAAAGTGTCAAAGTGGGTCATTTGTGATCTTAGGACATTGCATTTCATAGCCGCGTAAACGCCCCTCCCGCTTAGGTAAGAGTCGTGTTCATGGTTGTAAAGTGGCGCGTATCGCGTATTGTCTGGTAGTCAGATCAGAGAGTCAATTATGCATTGTCTGCAGCTTAGCTGGTCACGTTCGTAGCACTATATAAATTTTGCGAAAGCTGCAGGTTCGTCATCGGTTTGCTGCGCCTGTCATACAGACACGTCGAGTTGTAACACTACTTGCTGGAATGGTTTGAGCCTCAGGAAATTAGGATCTCAAGATGTCTCATTCACAGCAAGGAAGTGAATTGCAACACGGTGATTACTCTTTTTTCCATGTAATCGTAAAACTCCACCTTGTGAGCGATTTCAGCCTTAACTTGCCAAATCACTGAAACGTTGAATATCACCCACAAAGGAAGAGGTTCGAAAAATAATTACAAGGACTGTCACTCGTCTCCTGGTCGTAAGGTCAACCTCGGTGCGTAGAGTGTTTGATTCAATGTATGATGATGTTATACCGAATAAACTTTCGGCAAAGATAATTACATCTTTGGAGTGTTCTAGGACAAGACAATTTTGAATTCTTGAATTTTTTATTCATTTTTCTGTCTATATACCCAGTGTATCGCCAGTAATATGCAGATGACCTATGTGCCATGTAATTTAACTTTGATAACATCTCAAAAACTCTTTCCGAAATAACGTGTATAAACGTAGGAATATTGAGCATCAGCTAAAAAATTAGTCATTCTTAAGTAACAGTAAGAAAAAACAAAGTTTCGTTCCCGGTCTCCTGAGCACTCGATGCGAAAATAAATCCGTTAACATTCGATTCGATGCAGGATAATGAAACATAACTTCTAAAAAAGTAGGAGGAAAGAACTGTTTTGACGGATCGAGTGCCTCTCAATAATTCCTTTTTATGTCCGAACGGAATTTTGATGTTTTTTTTCCAATATTCAGGTTTTAGCCGATACCATGAACATGACCTGGCTTATGGAGGGCTGTATCAATGGTCATGCATTCACCATCGAAGGAGAAGGCACTGGCAAACCTTACGAGTAAGTTTATGTCAGATAACGATCAACCTGTAAATTCTCCTTTTGAGTGAATTCAGTGCTAATCACATAATCGGGGAAAACTTGGTAACTCATTTCCTGCCAACACATACTTGAAAAATAAACCACTTCTCGCAGACTTCTAGTGAATGTAAATTTGGTTATGTAGATTTGTTTCTTGTGGCCATTTATGACATCTGCGCATGGCTGCTTCAAAAGAGGGTAGGTATATCAAGACCCTGTGACGTAACTCAGTAACGTACATCTCGAAAGTAAATTTACAAGAAAGTTAATGAACGATGTTCTTTATCGAGAAGTCATCGTAAACAATTCACTTATGTGATGAAAATACACAAATTAATTAAATGTTACTTCGGTGATTTAGCTAGTAAAGCACTACCATGACTAAAGTCCTCTCCATCTGAATATTTCAGAGGCACACAAACAGGGAACTTTCGTGTCACAAAGGGCGGACTCCTTCCATTCGCCTTTGACATAGTGGCACCAACCTTGAAGTATGGAGTCAACGTTTTTATGAAGTACCCTGCTGATATTCCTGACTATTTCAAGCAAACATTTCCCGAGGGTCTAACATACGACAGGAAAATAACAATTGAAGATGGAGGATGTGCTACGGCCACCGTGGAAATGAGGTGAGTAATTCCCTACTATTTAACTGATTATAAGCTTTTTAACTTGCAGATTGGACTAAGATCTTTGAAAAAAAAGGAAAGGTTTATCATCCGCCAGTTGTTAAATTCGCTGTCAGGCTTCACAGTTATATTTGTGCATGATCTAAAACGAAAGCGACGGAGAAAGGTCTTTCGCCAACTTAAACTGTGCCACATAGTAGCACTATGTAGCGTAAAAACTCTTAAGATATCTCCGATTTTATTAAGTCATCTGATTTTTTTATCAACTCATTCACATTTTCCCACATATTTGCAACATTGCTCAAAGATTTGGGCTCGATGCCACCAAGTGAAAATGAACGACTGATTTTCATGTACCTGAATTACATCACCGAAGAATCAGATACGCAGTAAATTGTAATAACAGGTAAAACCAAGTTTGAAAATTTTACTTTCCTAAAGGACTGAGACAAAACTCATCACTCAAAAATAAGCCTATGAATTTCAACTACGAGATTTGAAATCCTGTTTTATTTGCTTATCCTAGACCGTCATTCCTTCCGGTCCTTCTCTCGTTTACTCTGCGTTAAAGACTTTTTCCCGTTTCAATCTTTCTACCACGTAAAAAGAACTAAGCATTTTTTGCCACAGTCGTTTAGTTTGTTTTACTCATTGGCGTTGTGAAATGCTTTCTTCTTGGACAGCCTCAAAGGCAACACTCTGGTGCATAAGACTAATTTTCAAGGAGCCAACTTTCCCATCGACGGGCCTGTCATGAGAAGACACTTGGCTGGGAACCAACCTCGGAGAAAATGACTCCTTGTGATGTCAAGGGAGACACTATCATGTACCTTTTAGTCGAAGGAGGAAAATGCTGAAATGTCGATATGAAAACAATTACAGGTAATTTAGTTCGCTTTGTCTGCTTTGTTCAGACATGTATCTAACTCATTCTTCATGAGTGAGCCCCTTATTTGATATCTGAGGTTGAACGGTGGAGAAGTTCAAAATGTATTTCAACCAGTAAGATCGAAACTGCAAAGAAAAATGGATATTACCAATCGAAATAAGAATCCCATTTACGGTACTGGGTTAATTGAAATGTATCCAAAATTTCTTGGAATGATTTAATCACGAACGGCAGCAGTCGTGTCGTGTTGCATGTATTTTCACGCAGAAAAATAGATTGAAAAATTGAAAGATTATTGAATGAAATCACGGCAGCTGAATAAACCATGTTGTTTTCTCTGTGTTGAATTACATTAACAAAATGATTGGGTTAATGACGAGAAAAGCATGGCCAGTTTCTTTGCTGTAAGTATTTTGAAGTAACATAATTTGTTACCTTCCAGATCAATTCGTTCAGCGTATAATCTTTGAACTTTTTCTTTTCTTACTGTTAACTTCTTAGTCATACATGATACATCATGGGAGGGAAATTTCATGAAAGTATTGTACTTTCTTGACATCAACCCTTTTCCCTTTGAAGTCTTGATCTGTTTTAGTTTGGTAAGTGTAGCTCTATGAGGTCGAACTGCCGCTTTTTTGCTTGTCTGTTCTTCAAGAATTAAGGCATATGCGAACAAGTGGTAAAGCCGAATCCTGCATATTATTCCTATCACAAATGTAGACCTAAAACAGCCGTATTTACTCTTCCGATACAGACAGACACCTATCAAACCGCTAATTAGCATTATCGTATACACTATCGGGCAGTTTTTAACACCCACGACACCAACTACTAAGCCCTGTAGAGCGGTGCACCCCCGCCCCCTCCCCCTTTAAATTTTAACAGTGATCAAGTACCGTTACTAAAAACTGACATGTCCTGGTGTCTTCTCAAGATATTTTCCCAATGAATTCAACTGGAAGGAATTCCTCATCCTTAGTGCTACAAGTGTTCTGTGTGTCCTTCACAACTTTTCTCCCGGTGTTCACGGCAAACGTTATTTTTTTATTATTCAAGAACCTTTTATGTAAAAAAAACTTGCTTTTATACATGCAACTTGGGGTATCCTCAGACAAGCACACCCTTTTTTAATAATAGATAACTTAGTTTATTTGTCATCTTTGATTACTACTGATCTTCAATTGCCATCCTCGACAATTGTTTCAGTGCTCGAATAAGTCTTTTTCAAAATTGCCACAATGGCTTTCTCTTCAGCCGGTTGGTTTGACTGTCACGCTTCCATTCGACTGTGACTAGCCTTTTTGCTTTCACTCTTCTTATTAAGCCAAAACAATTCCTTGGAGTTTTATTCCAGGACATCGCGTTTGTCTTCTGACGTCACACAATTTCTCTCTCAGGAATCTGGCGTTGCGGGTACAGAAAGCGCAGAGCCTGGGAGCTGGTTTCTGACGAAAGCTGTCATGTGAAGTGGTCCTGTAATTTCTTTAATCGTAGCACCGGTGATGTTGGCCCCTCGGAGATTAGCATCTTGTAGATCGCAGCCGGTTAAATTACAGTTCTACGAATAATATGATGTAAGATAAACTGTCAGATTGCAAAAAAATAAACTAAACAAGCCCGAAAAGGGGAGGGGGGGGGGGGTAGGGTATGGAGAACAAATATTGCGCTCAGTGAACCTCAACAAAATATACGTAAAAAGTCGCTCGATCAACCGGAAGCAAGTAAATTGGCTTGACACGCGCGAGCGGTAAATCACCAAAATAGGAGAAAAGTACAAGGGAAGTCACGCACGCAAGAGACTCCTCGCGTGTCTTATCTCTTCCACGTTCCCTCCGACCGCTCCCTTTGACAGAGTTATGCTCAATAAAAACGTTCCACGCAATAGGTTGATTTTTTTAAAATCTAATTTCCTAAGTTTTAGCCAACAAAATCTCACCTCTAGATCAGCTCCAGCCAGTACAGCTCCTCGCAATATACAATTTTGAAGGTTTGCACCTTTTAAAGTAGCAACACGAAGGTTAACATTCCCTAATTGGCTTCCTTCCAGATCAGAATTTTTTAAGTTCACACCTGGAGAGGAAAATCATTCCATCAGTGAGTTATGTTATGAAGGGCTTTGTTGCATCACGATTCCATATTTTGCTTCTTCAGCCAAAAGTGCCGGATGAATTGATACAATGCACGAGATGTGAGGGCACCCGCGAACGAAACAGACAGAGGAAAATACTAATTTAAGCACCGGCCATCTTCATACCTTCTAGATTAGCCCTTGTCCCAGCAGGGTCTTCAAAATTGCACCCTCTGAGGGAGGCCCCTTCCATATGAGCCCTCTGAAGACGAGTACAGCTTAAAATAGCACCCTTGATAATGGAACAAAGAAAAAAAAAGATCACATTTAACTGGATAAAGCCACTGAGTGGCACACCAGTTTTCGGTCAATAACGAAAGATGAAAACACAAATTTAAAAATTTACCGCGAATAGTGATTAAATCGCAAGTTTCTTGCTGACAAATCCTTGGCCTCCTTCAGTGATCGCCGTTCTAATTTTGCGGAATCAAATAAATGTGCCAAGACTATGACCCCTTTTAAGCGAACTTGCCCATTGCTTGCCGAAGAATTAAAACTAACATTATAACATCACTCAATCAGAACAAAACTACTGAAAAGTCATCACGCGCCAGTGAGAGCCAAAGCCGCGATGCTAGTAGTCATTCTAAGCGCGGGAGAGCTTGAATGGCCAAGTCACGCCTGCCTCCATCTGATTGGTTGGGAAGATGGTGCTATTTTTTTCTGACCAATCAGAGTGCTGCCGCCCAGAGGTAAACCAAAGCAAGTCCGGATTTTCTACGACACCCAATTCAAAGAATATTTTCACTGTTTCATCATACCAAAATTACAACTTATATTTTCTTCTAATGAAAAGCGTAATTCTCATACCATATTTCTACGATTTAAAAGATTTCAAAAGTAAATAAACTTATCCTAATTGTGTACTCACGTCCATATGTGCCCCGGATAGATTCGCTCTCTCCAAACAGCAGTTTGATAGATTGGCATTCCACAAGTCTGTTTTTCTTAGATTCGCCATTTTGAAGTTTATGAAACGTAGATCAAGCTTCGAGAGATCTGCCGAGTCTAAATTGATTCCCTACAGAGTAGAAAAGACAAGAATTCTTGGTATAATAAACAGCTCGTAAATCAGTAGAGAAAATCACTCAGTAAAAGTGGCTAAGTGTATTTATACTTGCCTGACAACGAAGCTCGCAGTTCGAGGGCGTTGATAAAAGTATTTTAACAAATTCACTCCGAGAAAGAGGAGCATCTTCAACGTTTTCCATAGCCTAGGGAATGTAAATGCTGGTCAATAAATATCTAATTAACAGCATAGTACCAAGTACCCTACAATAGAATTGGAGTAAGAAACATGTTTAGTGTCTAGTCAGTTGTAAACTGTATTTAAATCCTCAACTGGTTGGAAACAGTTTACAATATGGAGGAAAGCCAGAAATAACGTGATCCATAGAAGTTCACCATTGAATACATACCATAAGAAATGTCATGATTTATTTATAATACAGTAATTGCTTATAGATTGGAGCTATGGACTGAGAGTCACAGCCTGACAAATAAGAGAGAGCTGTCAGGGGTACTTTAATTTCCAATTACTTTCTTGCACTATTTTGCTGCCTTTGCCTCTCTCTTTGCTCAACATTAGTATGCTTAAATCCCTGTTCTCCATATCCTATACCCCTTTTATCTTCAGTTAGTCTTTTGGCAGCTGTATTTGGCAGCCTCAGGTGATGTTATGGATATCCGTAAATGAACAAGCTGTGAACGCATATGAAATAAGACCAAAAATCTTTTCACTGTTTATACCTTTACCAACTCTTCTAACTGTTCTAAGATGCCTGAGATTCCGAAAAACTTTGCCTCTTCTAGGACACCTACATGTAGCATGAAAAAGACATAAAAAGAAATCTTAATGAAAGATCATTCACTATATTTCCCTTGTATGGAGACAGAATGACTGTGTGGTGCTGAGCTTGTTGGATTTGCACAAATCTGTTTATACAGGGTATTTATTCAGATATTTATTTCAATAGTTAGACAGACTGGCCCAGTTCAGCTTTAAAGTTGGTTTAAATGGGGACCTGTATAAACAATGAAACTCATTATCACACTACCTTGAGGATTAACTCCCTTGTCTAGTATGAGCTGTCCATGTCGTAAATAATTGATGATTGGTTCAAAGTACACTGGACTTCTGTCGATGAGGAAAGCTCCTGAGGCATCTGAAACATTACTCCAAGCCTCTGCAAAGTAAGAGATAATTTTTAACTGTACATACTCTACTGTAAATCCTTAAACTCCCAGAAGTGATTGATAACATGAAACATCTTAAAATTTCCATTCATATATCCAGCAAACAGGTGATGAGAATATTCAGACTTATCAGGTGAAAGTCGTGATCCAGATCTAACACCAAATTCTTGTAGCTGATTTACAAGGAAATGTGTAGCAGCTAGAGGGGAAAATTTACAATAAAATCTTGAGAGTGAAAGGGTTAAGGAGTGACTGAATGAAAAACTAGAAATTGGCTGAGGTAGATTATAGTGGTCGACCAATAACTTCTGAGGTCAGACAACTATTTACCAAAGATAACTAATGCAAAGTCAGGTGATTAAGATGACTAGGGGGTGATATATGCCATCCTCAGTTTTAAAAAGGATAGGATAACGCTATCCACAGGATAAGACTCTATCCAGTGGATAGTACAGTACACCTAACAAATAGATTCCAAGTTGCCGTGTGTCTGTTCAGTAATAGATCATAGATGATGTCAAAATGTGGTAATAACAAAAAGGTGGTATGTGAGGCGCAGCCGAGTGTGTCACTGATGATCTTAACACATTTTGACGTCATTGGTGATCTATTACTGAACAGACGCATGGCAACTTGGAATCTATTTGTTTTATATAATAAAGAATTAAAAAAAGTTTTAATGATGATGTCATCTGTATGTCTGTCCTCCAATAGATCATAAGTGAGAACCAATCAGAATCCATGCATAACTGAGCTTATTATATAAAAAGGTTAAGTTAACATTAGTCTCCTTGATAGAGATGTATCTGTCGGATAGCATTATCTGCCCTTTGAATAACTGGGACCTGATCTTTAGACTAACCTGCTGGGGAAAACATTCTTGCTAACATACTATTTGGTTCATTCATCAGTGTTGCCCTTTACGGGATAAAAAAAGAAAATACATGGATAATAAAAAAATTAGAAAAAATAAGAAAAATGGTATAAAGTCAAGTAACTAATTATTTCTAAAGTCAAAGTTCTGGACTGGAAACCCATTTTGTGTTGTTATTTTGTTGTTACTTTTTTGTTTTAATTTATTCATATCAGCAGATTCAATAGACTTAGCTAACCTTTACAAATTTAGAATAGTTATTGTGACTGTACACCTTCATTATTTTCCTGGACAAGAAATCTGGATCAATGTGAGTATCTGAGAAACTGTGCACCTGCATGCACCCCTCCCTTCCTCTCCCCTCCCCTAACTCAACACGATGTTATCAGTTAACTGTTTTTGGGTTAGAGGAGGGGTAGGTGTACAGTTTCTCAGATGCTTACATTGATCCAAAAATCTGCACATCATGTTAATTACCTAGTTGTAGTGAATACTCTGCCTCCCACATTAAGCGTCACCCAGTCTGTGAAGGCTGAACAAAGAGCAGCACATTCAGTGAGTCTATTCACAGATAAACATAGTTGTTACATTGTGTTGTGGTTCAATTTTATCCTTGGTTCAAATTTTCTTTTCTTTTGTTTTTGGGTATTGTAATGTATGATAATGAGTTTGAAACAAGGGAAAATAAAATTTGAACCACAACACACATCACCAAGAGAATATCACTTTAAGGGCAAGCTGTAATTGGCTAGCTTATTAAAGATGTGCAAGAACTATTTACACTGTACCTCCGAGCAGCCAAAATAACAAAATAATGCATCAAGAGTCATCATAATGAGGACAGTCATAATGATGATGATAATAACAAAAATAATAATACTAATACTGATACAGATAACAATTCGTAATACTGATAATAATCACTCATAATACTGATAATAATAATTATGATAATGAAAATGAGAATAACAATGAAGAGGTTAGTGATGGTGATCTTGATAATAATAAAATTGTTATTAATGTATGGAATAAATTCAAGTAAGTTAGCAAAGTTGTTAATCAGAATATTAACAGCTTGTTTAAACCTTGAAAAGGGAGAATTCACTTCCACTTACATTTTTCACCAAGAGAATTTGGTTCTGGATCTTCAGATGAAATGTAAAGCACTTCATCATCTCTGAAAAGAAAATTGCTGAGTGTTATTTAAGAGTAAATAACTAGCATAATAAATTATTACAAATAACCTACAGTTTTACATGTACAGCAAGTAAGTGTATCAGTTGACATGTACTGACATCTTCACCAAATAAAGGTGAGCTGTACATGCATGAGATACCATCAGCATACTAGTATTCTCTTCAAAATATTACATCTTTGGGTTGGTCTTCAAATATAAATTGACTTAGGGCTCATAAAACCTAAACTTCAAGGATCTGATAATACATTACATAATTCTCCCTTCCAGCTGACCTAGTTATATCACATCAAAATCACCATTGAACAAATAAGTTTGCTCATTGTCTGTCTGCATGATAAAGAACTAAATTTTTGAGAAGGTGTGTGATAAACACTGTTAGTAACAATCGCAGAGCCATTAATTAATATGTGAGGTCACAAGCCATGGTGGAAGTTTTAGACAATTCCGTATCATCTTGGTCCATATTAAAAATTACCATACTAAGGTAAATTAAACTTGCTTCTTTCCACACCTGATTAAATCAATGTCATCTATCACACCTCCTTTGGCAGTGTAAACTTTAGTTGCCGCAGGGAGCCCAAGCTTGCATTTTGCTATGATGATTAATTCATTGAGAGTTCGAGGAACAGCAACAACCTTTCAAAAGGGGAACAATACATTAGAAAAATGATGCATGATAAATACATTGCAGTAAAAGTTTCGTGGTATCTTATTAAAACCATGTAAATATTACTTACAGTTGTACATCCATTTTTTACTGGAAAGAGTGTCATTAGAGTGTTAGCCCTTCATCATTTGCTCTGACGCAGGGTGAACGCTCAAAATGTCAGCTTTAAAACTCTTTACGGTGGCCAATTTACGTTATAAACTCAGTTGATAATACTTAATTATCCTGTTGTACTCTTACACCGACGCAGCAGCACAATTTCTTTTAAGAAATTTACCCCCTTTGCACACAGTTATGTTTACTTAGGTGTTACTTTGAATGAAAGGATCGAAGAATTTGCTAGTGTTACAACCAGAAAACAAGCACAGTGTATCCCCAACCCTTTTTAAATAACATCTTTGATCATCTCCTTGGTATCCTTCACCGGTGTCCCTCAGGTTCCAGAACGGAAATCTTTATCAAGTTCTCTTTCCAGCAGGGAATCGAATTAACATAAATCGCGATCAATTGGAAGAAGTCCGCTTGCGAGTCGTTTTAGAAAAGAAAAAGTGATGATGAAGTCAGACGGAATATTGTGAGGATCACCTGGTATCACTTACGAATTATGCTCAAATCGCGCGCGCGATAATTTTCGAAACTTCATGTATCAATATTGGCGCATAGGCATAGAAACATTCATAGCCAAACCTTTCCTGAGTGAACCGTACATCCTTTGGCAAGCAATGTCACTCTTTTTTGAGCAAATTCTGGCATATTTCATCGGCTTTGAAAAAAAACCCAAAATCGGAACTTTCCTCTCTACGTTTAACAACATACTATGTTCGCGAAACATAAAACCTGCCAGGCGTGATCATTTGACTGTACGAGGTGGATTGAGTGCTCCTGGACGCTAGTGCCTAATCTTCCTCGATATAACTGGCAGACCCATTCTTCCAGAGTGCGGAAACGAAAGCGGACAAATTAAAGAACTAAGATTTGTTGTCGTTGTGAAGATTTTTGTTAGAAACATGGGTAAACCAACTGGACATCTCTTGCGTCAACTGAGGTCTCTGATGAAGAATAAGCATCATTTACCTGAAGTGATTCAAGCTTACATCATCCCATCTGAAGATGCGCATCAGGTATAAGTACCACGGCACTAACTATTGACAGTAATCTCTACCGGCCTGTCTCAAGAGTATGGCAAGTGCACGCACGACTTTTTCCTTCCATACCAAACAGACTAGCCTTTGTACGCTCGAGATCTCTTAGAGTTCCGCCATACTTTGCAGACTGTGGTCTATTGATCGCTATACTTTTGTTCTTTAATCATATGTTTAATTAATGTGCACGCCTTTTTTTTTTAAGTGTCAGTAGGTTATCCTGCCAAAAGTAGATGTGGGTAAAAATACTGAGTTGTCAATAAGAACAGCTGGTTCGCTAAGGTCTGCCATCTTCAGCGAGTACAGAAGGAGGGGTAGACGCTATTCCCCACCCCACTCCCCACTGTCCAGTTTCTCTTTGGCCCTTACAAATTAGACCCTGTTCACGTGCTTATATGGCAATAATATGCATGCAGAAGTTGTGATTATATTGTAGCTGGCTTGCAGCTTAAAAAATGACTTTGTATTTCTCAATTTGAAGAGGTTTGTTACCCTTTAAATACTTGCTTTGTTTGACTATTGTTACAATTAATAATAATAATAGTAATAATTATAATGATATTAATAATAATTATGACTTTATTACAGTATTTGTACTGAAAGGTGGCTCTTCATCTGTAAAAATTTGCATTAATATTAAAAAGTGATAATAATATGAATAAAAAGCTCTCACTATGTACAATATCAGGGCTGTTACTGCCAAAAAAGAAAAAAATAAATAAATAAAGTAATCTAGAATATATACAAATCAAGAAATCAAATGTGCATTTGCCCTATTTATAAGATACTTCCTCACTTTAGTTTTAAAATCACAAAAAACTACAGAGTTCCTTGCAGCAGAGGATAATGAAGTAAAAAAGGCACTGTCCTGGAAAGTACCTGACTCAAGGGGTACTTTTAACATTGTTTCTTTTGAGGATCTCAGCATCCGCAAATTGAATTATGAATGTCTAGCTTAAGATAGGATGGCCAGTCATTATTACAGAAGGCTTTAAAAAACTGTTAAGTAGTTAATACTCTCTATTATTATTATTATTATTATTATATATAGCTATTATTATTGTTATTATTATCAGTATCATTATTTTATTATTGATGAAATCATAATGATAAATTTTATTGCAGAAAGTGGTAAACAATTGAATAAAATACATAATCTATAATTTGAAAAAACTAAAAAGAAGTAGATTTAAAAAATTTAAAATATGTACTGGGCAAGTTTCTTATAAAAAACTCTCCCAACAAAACATCAGATAAAAAGGAAGGTAACATAGTACTGTTTGATTTGATTACAGAATAGCATTTGTTCAAGTTTTCACTTGTTCGAGTCAGATTTTTAAGGTTTGGATTCACCTGTTATTTGTTTAATTTTCTGATTTTTATAATTTGTATTGTACAGAATGAATATCTAGCATCATGTGACCTAAGAAGAGAATTTATCAGTGGCTTTAGTGGCTCAGCAGGTATGAATGTGTTTTTGTCTTCAAATGGACGAGGTAACTATTTACTATAACCATTTGTCTTCAAATGGATGAGGTAATTATTTTTTTTTTAATTACACTTTGATTTTGAACTTTCTGTAGGGACTGCAATTGTCACAGAAACTAAAGCAGCACTATGGACAGATGGGAGATATCATTTACAGGCAGAAAAACAACTGGATGTAAACTGGACGTTAATGAGGGATGGTGTGTAATTTTATTGAAAAAGTTCTTGGAACCCTTTGAAGAGTACAATCTGTGACAAAATTAGCTACCATCCACCTGTCCTCTAGAAATTTTTTTGAGTAAAACCATCCATGAAACAGCAAAGTTTAAAGTTGATTTCAGATTTAAACCCTTTAACTTCCAACATCTTATTGTTAATTCTCTCCTCTTGCTGCTACAAATTTCCTTGTAAATTAGTTTTAAGAATGTGGTGTTAGATCAAGATAACAACTTCAACCTGATAATTTTGAGTATTCTCATTACCCGTTTGCTGGATGATGTATGTATATTGAAGGGAGAACTTACATGTTAATCACTTCTGGGATTTAAATGGTTAAGACAGGTATTTGACTGTTTTGTCAAAATTGAATGAAAGTGGCTAAGCTTTAGCCAGGAGAATACTGGAAATAAACCTTGCTATGTGACAATATCTGCTACTCACACACAATGTTGTGTACACTTGATGAATTTAAAAAGAAGAAAGTACAACCTTAATGAGGTGAAGAGAAGTCAAAGTATGGCTAAATGGGATTAAAATTGGAATATTATTCTGGACAGAAAGTGCAATTTTGGTGGCAAAGGATTAACTGTGCAGACTAGATATAACAAGATAGGGGACTATTTTATGCAACCATACACGATTTAGAAAAAGCTAGCATCCCTGTAAGCTGTAATATATGTTTCATTTAGTGGTACTTTTTGCCTAGCTCTGCCGACCTTCTCTAAAGGACCGGTATGTAATGTTGATGACTGTTAACAATATAAGATGCAGCCAGCTAATTATAAGTAATTTATCACTGATTTTTTCAGGGTTATCTGAAACTCCAACTCAGGAAGACTGGCTGATTCAGGTACAGAGCCATTATATTTACTTTTATGACATTATCATTGATAATTGACGAGATTATCAGGTGAGATAATATTGCTTATTGCTTGTGTTATCTGTGCAAGTTGAAGGTTGAGGTAGATGATACTAACAAAGGCCCTAGTTTTAAGCTGATAATTTGGACAAACTTGCAAAAACCAATTCTGAAATCATCATTCTGTTATACATGATAAGAACTATTAACAGTTATCTCTATGTATGATGTCAATTATGAGTAATACTTTGGTGCAAGCTAGAGACCAATATATTCCAATGATCATTATCTGCTTTAGAGTTGAATTTGCTGGTCAGACCTAGAATTTAACTTTTAAATATATAATTACAGATTTTTTTTCTTGTCTCCCATCAGGAATTACCCAGTGGATCAAAGATTGGTGTTGATCCATGGGTTATTACACATGGTGAGTTTATTTTTGGGATGAAACATAATAATTCTAAAATACTACTAAAATATTCAAAGAGAGTCCAAAATGTGTGTTAAATATTGGCCTTGCTGAGCAGACTGGATTAAGCCCTGGTATAGTCAATGTGTTTTGTTCTTGTGCAGACACTTTTCTCTGATTTCACAGTGCCTGACTATCCATCCAGAAGTAAGAGATGTTATAGACTGAGGAAATTTGATATAAACATACAGTAGCTTCAAATTATTGTTTTAACGAAGTGCATACCTTTCTTCTGTTTTATTAGGAAAATGGGCCAAAATGTCTCAGGTGAGCTTCATGGAAAGACTTCCTACCATTACCAGCAGCAATGCATGCATAATGTAGGCATGGTGCTTTTTTGTTTTTAAACAGGGAATGGTACTGAAGGTATCAATTATTGCTTGTTGTTCATCTGTTGGGGTCAACGAAGACCATGTAGTCATCCAGGGGGAGGAGAGATCAACCATGGATGCCCAGGAGGCTGGCTATTCCATCCCAGCACTGAAGAGACAAGTGGGCAGGGGATGGTGGCTGCAGATGGTGGTTTGCTTGCTCTTGTCTTCTGAGTCAGCTCCTCAGCTGTGCAATATCTCCGGAAGGTTTCTGGAGAGTCAAAATTTTTTTCTAGGGTGTAACAAGTTTTTTTTTAATAAATATTAGTCAATTATTGAAACTTTTTGTTCATTATTTCTTGCACAGAGTCTGTCAGCAGCAGGACTGTCATTAGTATATGCAGAGAAGAATCTGGTTGATCTGGTGTGGGCAGATCACAATCGACCTGACCCACCCTTTGAGGGGCTGATGGTATTGGACATCTCATTCACTGGTTAGTCAAAGCTGGTGTAAAAAATGTACAAGAACAGGAAAATTCACTCTCTTCACCACTGTCTAGATTCTATAATGATTCATCTTGAGAATTAAATCACCTGCATAGACTAAACTCCAGTTATAGCAGAGTCTAAACATGCATTTATGCCTCAAATTTATTTAAGCATCACTGTTCATTTAACCCCTTGACCTTAAAGAATGACTAGCATCTAATTTCTCCTTACAATATCACCCCTAAATCACATATAAAGGTCATGAAAATATAGGAAATGATCACCAACTAAGGAAGCACTTGATTGTTAAACAAATTCTCCTTGTCAGCACCTTAGGAAATGTGTAAAGGACAGTTTGGAGAATATGTATACTGATTTAAGCCAGAGCTAAGCAGTAAATATTTTGATGTGTACTTTAAATGGGAATTACATTATTTCTTAAATTCAGGAAAAACCTGGCAAGAAAAAGTAAAACATGTGCGAGGAACAATGAAAAAGAGGAAGGCTGATGCACTAGTGGTGACTGCCCTGGATGAAATTGCATGTTAGTAATATTGTTACCAAAAGCCCATTATATAATTTCAGTAAATGTCTCAGATATTGTAATGTTGAACAGCTATTACAAAAAAGAAGTTTTGTCATGTCAAGTGCTTCTGCTTACTTTTTCTTTAGGGTTGTTTAACTTGCGAGGCTCTGATGTGACTTTTAATCCTGTGTTCTTTGCTTATGCCATAATCACTCAAGATGAAGTAAGGTGAGTTTGCCAAAGTGGCAATGAAACCTTGCTGATTGGTAGAATGTTCAAATTGTCTAAATTTCTACTAGTGTTTGTCTGGGGCTACCTTGTTTGCATTAGTCAAATGAACAATGGGGAAATGTACAATCAATCATAACTGACTGAGTGATGAAAATTATAGCCGGGTGAATGGGTCAAATATCCAGCAACTGAAGTCCTATTTAACATTTTTATTAAAGGATGCTATGGTCTCATCAACTAAGGTTGAACTGTCTAAAAATTGTAAAAAACTTGGCTGCTTGTTTTAAGTATGAGAAAGTTGAGGAAGAGTTTCAGTATCTTGACTAAATCACTGCTATAACAACTATTTTTGTCCTCAAAAAGTCCTTGAATTATGTTTGTGTGAAGTTGTTCAAACCATGACCAGTGTTCAGCTGTATGACCTAATGCAAGATACATCAAGTAATGACTCTGAATAAAAAAAATCCAGAATCTTAAATTTGTGAAAAAAATTGGTGGCATTAGTGCAAAGGAACTCCAGCCTTCAGGCACTGTATGATTCCTTTAATAAGAGTAAAGCTTTGCAGTTGCTCCACTGTCTTCTTAGTGCAAACAAAACATCATTTTTTCTTTTGCAAGAATTGCAAAGGAGAACCTGACTAAGAACTCAAAGTGTTTATTGCTTGCAGTTTGTTTATTGATGATTCCAAACTTAACAAAGCTGTATCTAAACACCTCGGCTTGGACAGTGAAAACGACAACAATCAGACCAAAGTTACTGTGTGTCCATATGAGGGAATATCAGATGCCGTCAAAGAAGCTGCTAATAGTGGAGCTAGGATTTGGGTATGGAAAAGAGCTTTTGATTTTGTCAAGCATTTTTCAAGGGTAAACTTTGATCATTTGTTCCAATTAAGATTGTCTGAGATTTTTCAGGGCTAAACTTTGATCAACGGTTCCTATTTTTACTAGCTGCCATACCATCTCCTTGGTTTCTTCAGAGGGGGTCCAAATTATATGATGGTTTGCATATTTAACCCTTTTCACCCTAATATCAGTATGCATATTCTCCATACTGTTCTATGTACATTTCCTAAGGTGCTTACAAGGAGAATTTGATTAATAATCAAGATCTTTAATTGGTGATCATTTCCTTTCTTCTCATGACCTTATTGTGTGATTTACAGGTGATATTGTAAGGAGAATTTAGATGCTAATAACTCCTAGTAATTGAAGGGTCAACAATTAGGTTATGAGCTGGAGATTTCCAACGCGTAGCAGTCATAGGTATAACATCGTTCTTCACCTCATGGTGTTACCTTCATGATAACGTGTTATCCTAATGCCTTGGCTGTTGTGTTTTTTGTAGATTAGTTTGTCATCCAGTGTTGCATTAGTGAGGCTTGTCCCTAAGGTAACAGAATGATATAATGTGACATAATTGAGTTGTATGCCTCTAGAGAAATGATGTCAGCTTAAAATTGTAACCGCCGAATCAACTGCTGTAATAGCCAGCTCATGAAATTTATCAAAATACTAAAGGAAGAAATTTATGGGAGATACTTTCCGCGAGATGTTAAGGGGAGGTTTCCACCCCTCAGAGACCACAGTAGCTGAAAAAACTTTACAATCCTTTGCGGGCCGTCTCAAGGATGTCTCGCAACAATCCTTTACCCAACCCCCTTCCTTTGAGAGGAAGTTGTGAGAAATCCGAAGGAACGGGAAGTTAAAAAGCGTAAAACAAAACAAAACAAAACAACACATTGGGATTTCTTAATGGGATCATAAATCACTATCTACCACGGACAGGCTTACCTCTGATGTCCGCTCAGAGATTGTTGATGTTATGTTATTAAACAGAGACGTATTTTAAACCAATTTTTGGGATGATTATTCCTCTACGTAAAACCAATTTAGCAATGGTTGAGTTTATTTGCCCATCTTCCCTTAATACCCCCAGACTCAACTCATCTCTGATCCGTCGCCACTGGCTAGTAGCAAAGCAGTCAAGAATGCAGTGGAAATCGAGGGCATGCGTGAAGCTCATGTGAGTACACGACTCCATCAACTAGGGCGTGTTTTTATAGAGTCAGTTGACTGACAATGCAAGTTACGTTGTTTTGGATTAAGAAAAAAATTGGGATAGCCTCATCGAGACAGAGACCCATGTTTAGTTTTTCCCCAAGTTTACCAAAGAAGTAAACGCCAGTGTCATCGAGATTACCTTAATTTGTTCTTTTCCTAATGTTGCCCGTCTTTGTTAGGTAATGAATTAGACCATACACACTCTATACTAAGTGGCGTTAATTCCCATCACCCGCAATGCTGGTAGGATTTAAAAGAAAACTTTAATGTACACATACCACATGCCTTCAAAGGGCGTTCAAGTGCAATTCTTACAATTTTCAATTTGGTGTTGAGAATGGTTCGGATTGGCTATGGTTTTGTTTTGGTTCACACTTTGATTGGTCTTCTAACTGCTCTGCCACTCAGTCACGGTATTAGATGTGTGCAAGAGACTTATGACCTCTTGATGTGTGGGTACACTATAAAAACAATCCTAGAAATTCCAATTGCAATAGAGCAGTCCTCAATTGAATGTCAAAAGTTATCCGGGATTGCATCGATTTTGCTTTGTTATCGCTGTGTGATTGGTCCAGAAAACTCACGTCACTCTCTTAACCAATCAGATGTAAAACGACGCAACAACACGACTTGGTCACCCGCGTTTTCCCGCGCTTTTGGCATTTGGTTTGTTTTTTAAACTTTGAGCTCTCATTGGCTAATTTCCTTTCTTCTGATTGGTCGTTGTGATTACTTTGGATTTGCTTTTACGATACTCAAGCGAAAATTAAATTGGCCAATTTTATCCCTTAAATTTTATTACCTTAGTCTCTTTCTTGGCTTATTACTTTCACACAGATCAGAGATGCCGTTGCCTTGTGTGAGTATTTCTGTTGGCTGGAACAAAAGGTGAGGGTATCATCAGCTGGTTTGATGTTTCTTAACATAACAATTGAAGCAAATGCTTATGCGTTACAATCTATTCTGTAATGAATATGGAAATAAGTCAAATTTCTCATAACCATGATACTTCATCGTCAAGGTCCCTAAAGACGACCTCACAGAAGTCACAGGAGCAGCCAAACTAGAAGAATTTAGAAGGTGAGATGTTCCAGCCACACTACCAAGTTACTATGTGCTTGCTAATGGCCATGTTGAGACACTTAACTCCAAGCGGAACGTACAGCAGTTGTTAGGGAGACATGACAAATGGATAAATCACGTTTTGCGACTGTGTTGTTACACCATAGAGGCCTTACTTTGTATTCATAGGTAAGTCAGGGAACCTATTTTTCGCAAAGGCGGACAAATTAGTTCAACTGGCTCATGCGCGCGAAGGTCGAAAAGTTCTACGTCTTTCCCAAAGGGACTTCCTGAACTAATAGATTTTAATATTTTTCTGTTTCAGAGAGCAGGAAAACTTTGTAAGCCTGAGTTTTGAGACAATCTCCGCTGTCGGTTCCAATGGAGCAATTATCCATTACAGGTATTTCCACCCGTCATTTAAATTTCGAGAGATTGCTATATTTCTTTTAAGATATAGCTAAGTATATCGAGCGTCATACCAAGTGTCATTTAAAGTATTGATAGCTTATCACTGGTTCCGTACATCTACGAGGGTCGGTACACTTATTCGCTATCCTATCAACTCTGATCATTCTTTGATAACTTTTTGACAAAACTGAATCATGTCATTACATCGTTTTGTTTTCTTCTTTTTCAGACCAGCTGAGGAAACAGACCGTATGATTTCCAAAGAAGAGTTGTACTTATGCGACTCTGGGGCTCAGTTCAAGTAAATGTCACTTTATTCAGATTCCACTTGAGCGCAGTCTTCCTCGCAGCCGTTTTTTAGGTGTCACGCTCTCTCCACTGGAACGTGTTGCGTGACGAGACCAAACAACGGCTGAAAAGGAAACTAACTAAAGCGCATTTCGATTGAGTGTACTCCAGAGAGGACACTCTTAATAGTGTAGCAGAACGCGCAGTATAAATCACTTGCCAGTATCCCATAACGAAGTGGTAACGCCAGAAACGTCAGCTTTAGAATCTTTCCTTGGTGGCCAATTCGCATCATCAACTCAGCCGGTACAACCAAATGTTCTCCAAGAAATAAGTTGGATTTTATGAACAAGAGGAATACCGAAAAAAATTATCGACTATTGCGTCTCAAAATCAACGGGTTGCCTTAACCTTAAGAACCATGACCTTTGTTTCTATCCTGTTTATTTGTTGTCATCACTACTTTTATTTGTTCTTTAGGGATGGCACCACCGATGTTACTCGCACGTGGCATTTTGGTGTTCCTACAAAATGGGAGCGAGTAAGTTATTTCAGTGAATTGGGAAGTAATCGGTACTATTAGTATTTTCACCATTGAACGCAGATTGAGATATGGGTCATTTGTATTACCTGTAATTCCCCCTAAAACTCGAGATACTTCTGGGAGCAAACCGCGTTTGAAAACTCGCATCAATGTCAGTATCTGAGCAACAGCGCACCTATCCCCCCCCCCCCCGACCCAACAACACTCAACTGATAACTAGTCAGAGTAATGTTGGATTAGGGGAGGGTAGGTACGCACCTGCTCATACCGACATTGATCCGAAGACACTTCCAACGATTAGGTTTGTGTATGAATGTTGTTGTTGGTGTTGTTGTTGTTGTTTTTTTTTTTTCAAACCATAACGGAGCCTTTCAGGTTTTATTTTTTTATTATTTTTTTTTTTTAATCAGAACCCTTGTTAACGAAATAAAATATAAATCTAATGCTACCACTACTGGCAGTGTCAGAATACTGAAACCCAAGCTCATCTGGAATGGACAATGTTTTTGGTGTCTGATTAAACTGGAATTCTTCCGAACAAGTTTAAGATTAATCATTTGGCACAGTGATAAAATACCTCCATAATAAATACCCAACAGTTATGCTTCTTTTTATCTTAAGGAATGTTTTACTCGTGTTCTGAAGGGACACATTGCATTGGCAAGAGCCGTCTTTCCCAACAAAACTACAGGTAATGTGCTCGCAAAATAGTACCAAAGTCAATATTTCTGTAGTGTTTAGCAGACGGGCTATCTATTTTAATGCAATTTTTCTGGGAGTGTTACTCTAAAAGTTGTTGCACGCTCCTTTAACCATTTCACTGGGGAATTTGTAGATCGCTGATTAATTTTTTTTCTGCCTTGCTTATTTCAGGTCATAGACTAGATACTTTAGCCCGCATGGCCTTGTGGGACGCTGGATTGGATTACCTGCATGGTACAGGGCATGGGATTGGCTCGTTTTTAAATGTACATGAAGGTATGTTGCGCATGCGGCGCCTGTAAGCATGCGAACGTTCAAGCAGGGCGTGTGCCAATGAAGAATGTGAACTTGTAAGTAAAGAAGTGTAAGCTGTAGACGCATGTGCCTGTGTGCGTGCATGCGTGCCACTGTTGTAACCTTAGGGAGCTCCTTGGTTCAATTTTTGCTCGGTATGTGGCGCTGGTCTTTTAGAACCCACACCCCATTATAGTCCATTTTTTGGCCAATTACAGACCCCAGCTTAGTCATTTTTGCTATTACGGTATCAACTTTTTAACCGCGAATCTTCCTAATTTTAAGTCCTTACTTAGCAGAATTTTCCACCCCCTAAATCCAGAAATTGTGCAACCCCATTCTAGTAACTCTACTATAAATGCAGCGCCGTTTTAGTCAATCCAGTTGTGATAATTCGCACATCCCCATCAGCTTAATACTAGCAGGTCTAAGCCTACAAAGTATATGATTAGACAAAGCCTAATTTAAAGTTTACCCTGCAAAACAAAGGTTCTATTTCCAGGTCGCGAAAATAATTGAATCCACCTGGCAGGATTAATGCATCTTTATGCTTTGATGTTACCATGTCTAGGTCCACAGGGGATCGGATTCCGGAGCAGAGAGAATGAAGCCCCTCTAGAAGCCGGCATGATGGTTACTGACGGTAGGCCTTTAATTTTTTGCTTAAAATGTATATTCTCCTGTTCAGTCACTAAATATTTCTATACGCAACTCTTGTGAGAATTTAGGATTAGGCCGATGAATTTGATTTGGTGACATTTACCCTTCAGAGTTCTTACAGATTGTCAAAAAAACCTTGAAAAGCCGCATAATTTTATAGTATCAATTCCCATGCCTGAACAGTTCTTGAGTTTATGGCATTGAGTGCCTTTGATCGATAATGTTGCCGTTTTTTTTTTTTTTTTTTTTTTTTTTGTATCTTTAGAGCCGGGTTACTATGAAGACGGTGCTTTTGGAATCCGTATTGAAAATGTGCTGCTTGTAAAACCGGTTGAACTGCAGGTAAAAAATACATCAAAACTCTAAAAGCGCTCCATCGTAATATAACTGATCTGGCAACTATCACTAGATCGATAGGCGATGTCGGAAAAGGGAGGGGAAAAGTCAACCGAGTGTTAGTTCATCTAACTTTACGGCCTCGTTTAATTCCCATAGGAAACTAACTTTTGGTTATCTATTCACAGAATAATTTTAAAGACAGAGGATACCTAGGCTTTGAGCCAATAACTCTGGTAGGTGTTTGTTCAGAATTCTTCTTCAGCAGCAGGATGTTGCCTTCTGTAACTTTCACTCGTAGTAAACCAAAAACAGCAACGGCTAAAAACGAAAAAGGAAGCAAAACACCAGCAATTCACAAGCCTTTTTAAAAAAACAACTTTGAGCGTGTTCATGTCTCGTTTAAAAAGTCTTTCCGAGCAATATTTCGATTTGTGACTTTGGTGGGTTGAGTCCCCTGTGATGCTTTTGTTTTCGATGTTACCTGCATTTATTTCGTTCCCGTATTGTTAAATAACAACTAATTTTTTGAATCGTACAATGGCTACACGTCAGAGAATTTAAGATACAAAATGGTAGACCATCCTTACAACAACTCTCTTCTCCTGACAACGTTAACAACCCTTCTTCTGTTGACAATAACGACCCCTCCTCAGTATGCTCTCATACTTTACTTTCCCAGTGTGCTCACGTTGTTGTTAGCATAGTCTTAGATGGTAATTTCCATCAAATCTGAATATATGACTTATGTTTTTCTCGTAGTTTCCAATCCAAACCAAGCTTCTTATGCCGTCTATGTTAACAGCAGAAGAGGTAGGTTGAATTTAGTTCATGGAGGTTTTATTCTTCGAATCTGCAGCTCCGGAGATAAGTTTGCACGTGCGTATTGTCATGGTCGCGCGCTCTGCCTTTGGCAATGGACTTAGAGCGTGCGCGCAGCTTTGTAGCTGCAGCGTCGCTTCAGCTACACCACGTATTTCATGTAATTTACCCCTGAGAATTTGGTGTAACGAACTGGTCTCCATAGGAATATAACAACATATAAATCGCTTTGTTTTAGTCGGTTTCCCGGTGTAATGTCGTTATGTTGTTTGCGCACTCGTGTTCTACCAACGTGAATGCTAAAAGGTTTTCATACCATCAGATGATTGTATTTCCTTTTGTTCTTACAAGGTTGATTGGATCAACTGGTATCACGGCTTATGTGCAGAGAAGGTTGGATCAGCTCTGAGAGAACAGGGCCGTACAAGCGCACTGAACTGGTTAATAAAAGAGACAGTTGCTTTAGGTTGAATGTCTAGGTGACTAATTTGCATATGACAAGAGCTGACAACTGACAGCTGATCAGTGAGTTAGCAGACATTTAGTTCATGTTCGCGTTACGTCTGTTTGTCAGCAGTAAGATAAGCTTTGTCCCTTTCAACGGAAAGGCAACGTGAAGTAGTGCTACAAGAAGACAGCAACTACAACAACAACAAACATCAACAACAACAACAACAACAAAACGAACAATCTGAAAATAGTATTAAAATTTTTAGTTTCATGAAGCAGAAATGAAGTGTCTTGTCTAGCAATGCTCTCTCCAAACTTTTCTTGTATACATCGTCCACCATAGTCGCTATAAATTTTACTTTCAATTTCAACTCACCCCACTGATTACCGTCAAGCCCTTTTGTAGCCCAAGCTCGATTTACAACATTTGCACTGTATTGTGGGTGATGTGGGTGTGCTTCCTACCCGCAATTCACTTTGCTGGAAAAAAAAAAATAATAATAAAACGAACCAACAAAAAAACAAACCTAAAAGAAAAGAAGTAGAAATGAAAGAATTAAGATGGTATGCAGAGTACGAAGGAAATGCGATAAGGGAAAATTTGCTTCGAACTTTTCTCCTTCCCGTGGTCTCCTGTGATTCGCGCTCGTCATCAGTCTCTCTCACTTCTAGCTCTTTTTAGAGGGCATGCAAAGGCTTAAGAAAAGTTTGTATGGGCTGGAGTGGGGTGTGGGGGGGGAGGGGGGAGGTTGGATACGGAGGGACCTTTCGGCAATTCTGTAGATGTGTGTCGCCTTGTTCTCAAAGTCCTGATCCTTCCTAAGACCAAAACATATAACAAGTTCTCCTTTTCACACCCGCTTTCAGACCTAGTTTCTGACAGTTGTGTTTGGGTTTTGAATCCATCACGATCTGTTATGGTGTGACGCTTCTTATTGGTGCCGAATTTTAGAATTGGTACAATTAGCCCTTTGCAGGAGCCCAAAGTGATGGGCTCCTGCTCTTAGAAATCCGCTCTATTGACAAAATTAGTTAGGTGACTTCTCCACAATTCCTAGTCGAAAAGACAAATATGTTTCAGTCCTCCCGTTGTTCACTTGAAAACCCTGCTCGACTTAACACTATTATATTGCCCTTTTTGAGACCATTATTTGGAAAATTTCTCCTCTTTATCAGATCAAAACGACTCAAACACCATACCATGTCTTTGTAGCTTTTCCGAATCTAACGTACCCCCGTGGGTTCTGTTGTCCCCTTTCCATCTAGTATGTGAAGCTCTTCAGTGTTTTATTTTTTATTTTTTGTATTCTAAAGCATATACGCTTTCAAAACGTGTTTTCCAAATATTACTCTAGAGTAATCTTTCTGGCTGCTCTAATTTCGCTAGCACGCCCTGCGTGCCTACAATCAGAAAGCGGTTGAGTTGTTACAGTGTATGCGCTCCATAAACACGACCACGTGCAACGGACGTTCTCTTGACAAGATGGCGTCGATGGAGAAAGAGTATTTTTGGGGTAAGATGCCTTTCCTGAAGCATTTCGGTGTTCAATGCAGTATGTTTTACCTCAGATCTTTTGTAGGTTGTGAATTGAGTAAAGATAAGAAGGAATATAAGTGGGATTCGGAAGATGAAGAACTTGGCAAAGCAGACATCGAGCAGAAGCTTGTCGTAACCCAGGTACACATAAATTATCATAGCATGTGCACGTGTTTATTTTCAAGCTTTTAAATACCCAATTAGTCATAGTTCATTCTAATTAAAAGAGAATTTTAGATTTGTAACTACTGTGGAAGCGGGTTCTATGTTCAGATAGCACTTAGCTTACTTTTCAGCTGTAGAGATCGACGTGAGGCAATCTGCAATAATCGAACTTAGACTTCCTGTGAGCAAGCAAACATTGAGATTTGGACAACTGTACAGTCTACATTTGGCTGATGTTCTGTGTATTTCATTAATCCTAATCAGAGCTGCCGCCTGTGTTGTTTTTTTTTGTTTTTTTGTTTTTTTTCAGGCATGTCTTGGTGCAAAAGCCAAACCTAACGAAAGAAATCTTGTACAAGTCACCACAACAGACAGTAGTGATAACTCAGTGACATTCACCATTCTATCATTGGCTTCTGGAAGAAAAGACCAGGTAAATGTTAATCCTTTAACTCCAAAGATCTGATTTTCAATTCTCCCCTCTAGCTACTACACATTTCCTTGCTTTCTGATCACAAGAATTAGACTGTTCAATCAAGGTAATAAATTGTACCTGATGAGTTTGAGTATTCTCACTACCTGTCTGGATACTATAGTGAGAAGTTAAAGGGTTAAGAACCTGTTTTCCTCGTTCTCTTTCTTTCTTCTTTGGCATTATGAATTGTAAGATTACTTCCTTTGAAATTTGTCGTGCATTTTGCATCTTTGATGTCCATTAAATGAACTTATTTGATCAGTATTTAATGTGATTTAATGGAAATTGAGTACATACACTTACGATAATATGGACAATCCTCATTCCCATGTTAATTAGGCATTTAAAGTCAGAAAGTTCTCTCTCTTAATTTTGATTGCCTGGGCTTTAATTATGTATATTTAATTTTCTGATGTGAACATATTCCTCTGACTTGTACTTGACACTGTTCCCTTGCTACCATATTTCTGAATAAATACCTCACTTTTGCAGCCTTCAGTTACTGAGATTCCAAAAGTTTTGATGTCAGCCTCCAGTTATTGAAATTCCAAAAGTTTTTATGTTCTTCAAAGTTTGAATATTAAACACCTAAGATTAATAACAATTTCCTTTCAAGTTCAAAGAAGTTGGCTTGGAAAGATTGTTTAATTCTTATTATTGTTTATGTTATATTCTTACCTATTTTATTTTTAGAGTAAGCTTAGTCTGGCATTTCCAGCATCAGTTGTTTTTAAGCTTATAGAAGGTAAGAATCTTTATCTAAATGTACAGAGCACTTTTCAGGGCTTTTTGGGTGCATACGCATGGTCTGGGTGATATAACAGAGCTGTAACATAAATGTGTTTCACTTCTCTCAAAAGTCGTAGGCGTACATTTAAATAATTTCATCTACATTTAAATGTAGATAAAACTAGTTCCTTTTTTAATTTTGTTAAATGTGATTTAAGGGAGTTAACAACAAAGAGCATCAGCAGTTACAGTCTGCAGTTTTGGTATATGTGCATGCATCGGAGTTCCACATGCTCCTTGTTTGAGGAATTCTTGCATGTACATCTAGTGTGAATGTGGTGCGTTGTTTGGAGTGACAGCTCATCATCCAGGCAGTTTTTCCCACCCTTTCTCTTCCTCTTTCCACTGTTTATTCAGTGTGATGGGTGCCTGTTTCCCTTTCCTGTGTGGGGGCTTGTAGCTGGTTTGCCAGGATTTGCCAGTGATGGTAGCAGTCTCCATCTAAGAGCTGGCTGCCAATAATAGAAGCTCCTGGATGTCTCAGGTACCCAACCTCCACTTAGCAATGCAATTGTTAATCAGAATTTGTATCTAAAATTCTTGATAAGCACCAACTGTTCTCACTCTAAATTAAACTAAAACTTAAACATGATAGACTATTCTATCTGTCTATTCAACTTCTATTACTCGGAACCTACAATTTATTTTACATTTTATTTGGAAGGGTATTTCAAAACCAATCTAATTGTGTCCTAGCTAAAGAGAGCTTTTTTTTTCTTTAGGCTCAGGACCAATTCACTTGACTGGTTCTGTATATCAAGGTAAGATGATCTTACCATGGTACTAAGACAAGTACACTATAATTTGCATTCATATTTCCATTCTTTTTTTCTTTTTCAATCAAAGTTGCTTTGATGAATAGAATTTAGGTCAAGAAAACCCCTTCTTTCTAATTCAAAACTTATAAAAATGCACACAAGTAAGGCAGTGTCATGCTTGATAAAGCCTGAGTACATGTCATCTTCAAAATTGTTTTCTACCTTTTAATTTTGCAGAACTATTTCTAGGGGATGACGATGAAGAAGAGAGCGGTGAAGGTATTTTGCTTTTAACCCTTCAACTCCCATGAGTGACCAAGATAGAATTTTTCCTTACAATATCAATACAATATCAAGCAGACTAGTGATGAGAATAAAGAAAAATATCAAATAGGGGATTATAAGTTGATCCAATACCAAATTCTCCAAACTAACATAACAAGAACTGTATGGCCAACAGAAAGGAGAATTAATAATTAGATCTTGGGAGTTAAAGGGTTAAATGTATTTTTAAACCTTGACCAAAACAGTAATGCTCTTTACTTATCATAAATTAGAAAATTAATTCATAGACACATACCCTTTCCTTTGTTAGCTGTTGTTTGTCATCCTCATGACACTTTCTGTAAGTTTGTTTGGTATCAATTAATTTTTTTGTTGTTGTTGTTCATAGATGAGGATGAGGAATCTGAAGTAGTTTTATCAGAGGCTAAGGAGTCTGTGAAGGTAAATAAACTGGGGTGAACAAGTTTTCTAACTGTTGTGTACATATTAATAATTGAGTTTCTATCCTGTTTATTGTTATTATTATTATTATTAATTTTTTTTTTTTTGTCAGAAGAGACCACTAACAACACCTAAGGGACCACCAACGAAGATTGCTCGAGTTGAAGCTGGTTTGTGCTGCGCATTATCTAAATGTCACGGTTAGCATATTTGACTGGGGATTCGAAGGTCTTGTTTTGAAGATTTGACCCCTAAGAGTAACAAGAATTTAATTTTGCCTTAAAATATCACCTCAGAATCACACATTAATGTTGCAAGGTAAAGAAAATGATCACCAAGTAAAGAAGCTCTTGATTGTTAAACACATTCTCCTTGTCAGCACCTTAGGAAATGTATAGAGAACAGTATGGAGAATATGCATGCTGATATTAGGATGTACTGTAAGATTAAGGTCAAAAGGTCCAGCTGTTGGATAAAACACTTTACTATTACAATTTTTTCTCCACCAAAGAGTGCAGTCTGGGTTCGAATGATGTAGAGAAGTGTAGCATCCTCACTGTTTTATGCCAAGGAATTTGGGAGAAGTTCATTATCAGTTTGTTGTATGCTTCTGCATTAATTTGGTCATAACTGAATATTATCTGGTCCATTTTTTATCAGAAGGCGATGAAGAAAGTGATGATGATGATGATGATGATGAGGAAGAGGACTCAAGTGAAGAATCCATGGAAATGGAAGCAGATGCTAAACAGAAAAAACCTGCAGAGACTCCAAAAACAACTGTAAGAAATATTGACTGGCTTAATTTGTGGTAGCTGTAAGCGAGTGGTATAACATTCATTTGTGCCAACTAAGTGTCTTCATTACAGATAAGCAAACCAAGATGTACAAGTAATATACATATGTTAGCCTATAGGACCTATATGCATACTAGTATTGACATATAGACATATAATTAAGTGTGCCATTAGCACAGGATATGTTTGAGCAATCCAATTGTTTTGTATTAAGGAATGGGCAGTGCGACTGTAATAGATACTGATGCTCAAGGTGCACCCATTGTCTGTTGACTGTAAACTTTTCAAAGTTTTTGATGGCCAGTAAGTTGTTACTTGTGTTCACTCTCCAAGAAATTACACAATTATGATGGAGCTATTACACTAAGGCTAAAGAGAAATGCTTTGAAACAGATTATTTTGTGCCAAGCAACACCCAAGAAGTATGAAAATTATTTTGCAGAAAAACAAACCAGAAGGTAAAGATGCCAAACCAGTGAAGAGCACAAGTGAGGAGGATGAGGAGGACAGTGAAGAGGACAGTGACGATGATGATGATGATGATGATTATGATGAAGAAGATGAATCTGGTGAGGATGATGATGACGATGATGAGGATGAAAGTGATGAAGAAGATGAGATTGCTGCCAGCTTAGCAGCAAAGAAAAAGGTTGGAGTTTTCCCTTTTTGATCCCATTGGATCTTTCAGTTTTCCTTTCCATCATACAATAAATGTTATTTGTAATTCAAATCTGCAAACTGTCAGTGGTCTCAATAAAAGCCAGTCACCTGCAGGCTACGACCTCTACCATCACCCTCTGTCTGGCTTACAACCAGGTTCTCATGTTTGGCATTTTGTACACCAGGGGTAGCCTCCTATGGAAATATTTATTGAAATACTCTACATACATACAGGTTTGTCTGAAGTTTTGGCCAAAATTTAGTCTTACTGACTTGGTCTGACAAGTAACTGTTTCTTTTTCTTTTTTGATGATAACTGTTTCAATTGCAGATGGAAGGGAAAGCAAATAAAAAGCCACCAATGACAAATGTAAGTTAAAATACAAAATGTTCTTTTATAATTCTTTTTAAATAAGAGAGTAGATGTAGCAGCTTCAATTACATTAGTTGTGCACATCTCAAACATATAGTCATGTGAGATGCAGGCCTTCATTTTGTTCAAAATGTTATTTATTGGTATTTGCCTTTGTAGGGAGTTGCTAAAGCAGACAAAAAGGATAAAACAGAAAAGCAAAACAAGATTCCAGCTCAACAGGTTTGTGTTCAAATTACAACTTCAGGAGTTGGCCTTTCTTGGTCTGTCCAGAACATGGTGGATGTTTTTTAGATCACCTTTCAACATGATATCATGGTACCATTACACACTGCATAGCACTAGTACATATTAAGCAAGTGTGAAAAATTCTTGAAAAACCATTAAGTTATGGCCTGTGTTACTGTTGCAAAGATTTTGTTATGAGTGGTTTCATTTACATAATTATACTGTTCAACTGCAACCTCTTGCTTTGAAATTGTGTTCATTTGAAACCATTGTTATAATTTCTGTAGTCTATAGGTGTATAAAATATTTTAAGTCTTTACCTGTCTGCACGGAGGTACTTTAATCAGCTATGCTAATCTGTTCTGTCCTCTTTCAATGATAGCCCAGTACACCAAAAACTGATGGGAAAAAAGATCAGGGGAAGAAGGCTGGAGCTAAAACTCCAGAAGTGGTATGTTCCATTGTTATAAAGGCCTTAAGAAACTACCATAAACACCTGCATCTAAGGGGCACTTGAAGATAAGCCACACTTCTAGTTTGGCAACCCAAATTTTTGGAAAAATTTGTATTTGAAAAGAAATTGAAGGAATTACGAAGTGGAATATTGAGACAGTTGATTTATTTTGGTATCTTCTTCAAACATACAGTTGTACACGTACATTAAATCATTAAGATTGAAAACAAAGAGTGTCTGGTTACTGATTTTTGCATATAGGAAAAAAATTTACAGGGTAGCCATGACTCCCCACCAAAAAAAAAAAAAAGAAAAAAAATTACATAGAGCACAATCTCATCTTTTTATTTAATTAGCTCAAGAAGAGACATGTTAGAGTAGGGCAAGGCCTGAAACTGGGAGAGAATTACTTTTCCAGTCCATCAGATAATTTTTTGATAGGAATGAGACATTTTCAAAGGTGACTTAACATCACTTTCTTATAAAACTAATGTGCATTTCCTTAGCTATCTATGGACAAAATTAAAGAGAAGTTACTCAAGGTAAGGAAGTTTTGTAATCATGGGGTGTATCAAGTCTTTTAGTGTGAAGTGCATTGTGTCTTTCACACAAATAAAATAGTTTTCTCTAGAACACTTTTTTGTATTCTAGATAGTTAGTGGATAGATAGTTACTCAATCAGCTTCTTTATAAATTTCCGAACTTGGTATTGAAAACTTTGTGCAAGTAGATAATGAGTTAGAGATGAGTTAAGTGACCATTTTATTTTATTAACCCTTTAACTTCCAAGATCTGATTGTAAATTCTCCCCTGTAGCCACTAACATATTTCCATGTAAATTAGTTAAAAGAATTTGTTGTCAGATCAAGATCATAACTTCTATGTGATGCTATAAGTTTAAGCATTCCCATTCCCTGCTCACTGGATACAGTATGGATATGATGGGAGAAGTCACAAGTTTAGAGGTTTATAAGTTTCAGAATTCTAGCAATACACATAATATTGTGTATTGTTTATTGGATTCCCTACCTTAGCAACATACATTTGCTTATCACAAGGTGAAATACCTTACATAACATTACAGTGTTTTTGAAAAGTGACGTTTTGTTTTTGGCATAACTGTCTTTTGAATTGAATTGCGTGATTATACGTTAATGGTGTGATTTGTTTTCTGTAGACGCCAAATCTTCCAAAGAAGGTGGAAAAGTTCAAGAACTATTTGAAGCACTCATACAAAATCACAGATGAGGCTGTAAGTTCTACACACTTATGGTGTACCAACAATGAGAATTTGTTTAACACTCAAAGAGTTTCTATGACCTTTGATATACTGTGTGGAAATTAGATGCTAATCAGTGATTTTCTGTGACAAACAAGACTCGTTTGTTTTTGTTTGTTTGTCATTTTTTAGAGGGGGGAAGATGTATTGATTTTGGTTTTTATTCTCCCCTCCCCCTTTTCCCCCCCCCCCCCCCCGGCTTAATATTTTTTGGTGCTACAGCAGGCTTTGTCCTCAAAATATACATGAATTCAGTGGCTGCTGGAAAACAGCAGACCATAAGAGTTTAGACCTGTTTAAACACAGACAACTTACGAAAAGTACCATCTAGTAGAACACTCGTGCAAAAAAAGGGCGTTATATTACTCGATACATCCGTTGAAAGTGGATCATGTACCTACAACGAGGTTAAAGCGAAGGCACGCAATACCACGTCTGTTTATTTGCAAATAAATAATTTGTTCGTATGTTTGTTTTTCGCAGGAGTCAACGAAACTCTGGGACTGGTTGAAGGAGAACAAGTAGAATCAAGACCTCTTCTCTTGTATCCATCACTCTGCCTAGAGAGTAAATTAAAATCGTTTTTTACAGACGTTTGGTTCTTGTATTTTGTGAGACGACGAGCAGTTTCCCAAATTAATTCTGTGCGAGAGTCAAAGTAATCTAACTGCATGGACTCTTGGAGTGACGTACGCACGAAGGCGTTGATTTTAGTCTATATTTCACGCGCTCTTGCAGCGCCGACTTCATTATTTTATCAGTTTTCTTTTAAATCGCACAATGGATTAACTTGGGAGAGGAAACCTTCCATCCTCTTGCACTTTGTTTATTGATTTTGAATCATAATTTCTTATTAGAGACAGTGTACATGTGCCTAGTGGAAAAGAAATATATTTTCTGAAATCTGATTACCATTATGTCCGTTTCATAGTATTCTCTCCTGACACCACTTGAGCACAAATAAACAGTATTGATATTGGATGCATTTTTCGTTTCCTTCCATGACTTGTTGCCACTAATGTCTCCTCATGCGTAGTGCCGTCTAGCTGTGTTTCGCGGAAGATCGTATTCTGCTCGTGCGCACACGTAGTTGTGCCGAAGGTTGGAGAAGGCAGATCGGTACCCCAAGCAGTTTAAGAGTGTCCTGAAAGTAATGACTGAAAACGACCCTGGCGATCAAATAAGAAGTCAGTGATTGAACGCAGTGCACCTGAGAAGTCAGTGATTGATCGCAGTGCACCTGGATTTTTCATGTTTCGCAGATCAGTTAACACCTCACACCCTAGCATCAGTATGCATATTCTCCATACTGTTCTCGATACATTTCCTAAGGTGTTCACAACGAGAATTTGTCTAAAATTGTAGAGATTCTTGGGTGGTTGATCATTTCTTGTATTCTCATAACCTTAATTGACTGATCGTTTCTTTTTTTCTGAAAGTCACTCTAGCCGACTGACTTCCGTGCTGACTTGCTGATTATTGATCCTGCTGACCAACTGACTGACAAGCGAAATTACTGATCAAATTAGATCACCAATTTCCAGAACGACTGACTGACTGTCTGACTCACTGAGCGTCTTACTGACTGACTGAATGTGTGAGCAAACGAGCAGACAACCGACAGACGGATTGATATCTGTTTTTCTGACTGACCAACTGATTGAATACCACTTTCCATCTCATAAGGGTCATCTTCAACAAGTAAACACACATAAACAGCTCCTGAAGAGGCAATTCTCTTTAAGCAAAATGCTTCCATTTATTTTAACCCCTGTGGCCATTTTGGGTTTCACCAGAACGCTGGGTGCCGAGTGGAAGATTTACTGCCATACGTGCAAATATGGTGCAGACCAAAAACTAAGCAGGAAAACACTCGAGCTCATGCCGCGCAATCGAGATCCCGCAATGCATTGTAGGACCATAAATTCATTCGCTACATGACGAAAACAAATTGATGATACTGCGAAAAATAATTATCTGCACTAACGCAAAGAGTTACTTTAAGTGCAAGTAGCAGTTAAAAAATAATTCATAATTAACTGAAATATATTTCGCGGTGTGAATGAAAAATAATTAAGTAAAGCCCGAAAAAAAATAATTGAGACTTAACTCAAGTCTTTATCAAAACAATTTTTGTAAATATAATCGATTGGCTATCATATTAGTTTGTAAAAAACTTGAAATTGAAATATGTCAGTTTGAAATACTGTCTTCAGGGTCATTTTTATCTCTAGAATTCTGACCAGAGCAGGCCTCCATATTTCCATTTTTTTTTTTAGTAGCGCGCGCAGAAAAATTTTTTCGACGGGCACCCTATTTCGCAACCGTCGACAGTAACCTTGAAATGTAAATAAATTAATACATCTTAAAGGAAATTATTTGCTTCCTGAGAATGTAAGAAGTCGAAAATAGTATATTTTCGATAAATTTCCCTCGATGCGACAAAAAAACTAATATAACAATAACTTTTCACGGCGTTTAATGTTGTTTATCTGAATAATTCTAATGCCGACAATAACGCCATTAATTAAAATGAAAATACATGCGTCAATGGCGCAGAATATCGGATGAGAAATTAATTACCAATTGCATCCTTCTCAGTTTTGTGTTGGTAAAGCCGAAGTGTAGAAGCAAACACTGCGTACAAGGTAAGCAGCAAAAAATTTTTATGACATCAAGTAGAATCTAAGCGGAAAAAAAAACAAGAAACAAAAGGGAAAAAAAAGTTAGTGTGAGAAAATTTTCGAGACGATGCCTTTTGGGGCATTTTAGCTAAAAAAAAAAAAAACCTTTGCAATGCTCCAAGTGCCTGACTGTAGAGCTGACTACTTTTTACATTTCCGACACTTCTTTTGCTCTTCTAGATATCAAAATTTCAACTGAAGGCAACGGTCTATGCAGTAGTGTTTACTACAAACCTACAGATTCACGTAGTTACTTGTTGTATTCGTCGTCGCATCCATCACTAGCCAAGGATTCCATATCTTTTTCACAGTTTCTCAGACTTCGTTTATGTAGTGACGACTCTGATTTTCCCGAAAAATCAGAGGCAATGAGCCAGTTTTTCGATATACGTGGCTACCCTGTTTCTGTCGTTCAAGTGGGCTACCACCGTGCCCAACAAATTGATCAACAGTCAGCACTACAAACGGCTAAGAAGGAAAACACTTATCGCAATTTATTCACTCTCACATTTCACCCTCGCAACCACGCAGTTAAATCTATCATTCTTAAAAACTTTCAATTACTCCACAACGATTTAGAGACTGGTACTGCCTTTTCGCAACCTCCACAAATTTCATTCAAACATGAAAAAAACATAGGCAACCTTTTTTTTTGGTCAAAAGTTCATTTCAAACCAATGACCAACCTGGAACTTTCAAATACGCTTGCTCACGATGCAAAACTTGTCCTTTCATTCAAAACGTAGAGAAAATATTGGGATCCAAGAGATCCATTAAGATCACTGATTACTTTACGTGCACCTCCACCAATGTCATTTACTGCATAACTTGCACTTATTACAAAAAAGTTATATATTGATGAAACAGAAAAGAGTAGATGACCGATTCCGAGAACACCTTCGCGACGTAGAAAGAAATGACAAAGACGCATTCAAACCAGTCGCTAAACACTTTAATCTCCCTAATCATTCTAAGCAGCATATTGCAGTTTGCGGCCTTTCCATACATCTAGGCAGTTTGGACAGCCACAAAACTCTGGAACAAAAATTTATCTTCCACTCGACAGTATCAACGAACGCTTTTCATTCAACTAATTTATTCTTGTTTTCTCGTCACCATATTCCCACCAATAGCGTAGCTTCATTTTCTGCATATAAACCGACACACAACCCATAGTTCCTCCAATCGCTCTGGCGAAGGGCTAACGCTCGAAACTTCAGCCTTTAAAACTTTTTACGGTGGCCAATTTACGTTATAAACTCAGTTGATAGCACTACTCTGTGATACTCTCCCACCGACGCAGCGCCACAGTTTCTTTAGAAACTTACCCCTTTATATTTTATCATTTTCAAAGAAACCTTCTTGTCGTTAAAAAATACAGATTTCCAGGCGAAGAAAGCGGCTGAATGGAGAGGAAAGTTACATATCTCTTTGGAATCATTGTCTTTGCCATTTTTTCCCGGACGAGAGGTACATACCTTAATGCACTAACGTTTTTGTAAAAAGAAGCAATATTTGAGTTTGTTGGCATGTAACACAAGCATACGACATTATAGAAAACGATTTTTTTTAAAAGTTTCGGAATCGCTTTAAATTTCCAAACAACATCTGATACTCTCAGGCAGTTTAAAAGGATTTCTCAATAGAAATTATATGAAAATAGCTTGGCTGCCGGGCATATATCGCGTTCAATTTGCAAGATGGATTTTTTGCAAGAGTGCAATCTGAATATCGAGGACTACTAAAAAAATTCGAGAAAAAATAAAAAAAATGGCAAATTTTTAAGCTACTCAGCAGTTTGTGTGACAATGACGGCGTTTTCAGCTGGTTATTTGCTGTAAGAAAATCAGTCCTAAACTTTCCGCGGGCGATATATTTATTTGTGACAATAGGTTTTGAAGCCGTAGCTAGTACCATCCTTGCTGCCATGAGGAGCTTTGGCCCCGAAAAAAATTCGCAGCAAGCATTCTACAGAGGGGCTATCATTTCTGTCATCAATTTACAGAATTACATTAACGCTTGCATTCGGTAGGTGTCTATGCGGTTACTTAAACCCTTAAACCTGGTTACTTAAGGCGCACCAACAAAGGCTGTTCGTTCAATACTGGGTAATTAAACAACATGTGTGAGATGTATGTCCATTTGGTCACTATGTTGGACTAATTAGACAGCAAGAATTTCCAGCAGATGGATTCGTGAGGTCTCAAAATATATTCCTGTTGTTGATGCAGTAAAATCAAATTGCTCTCGACCATTCACTTTAGGCGGGAAATGCCTCTAGTCGAATAATCATGGGAAATTGCAAAGGTGTTGGTCAAGAGTAGCCGATCGAGCTTGACAACGACATTCGGGACCTAGTAAAGGATGATGATCATATAAGTAAACTGGGGATGCCTCATCTTTTACTCAAGAGTCCAGAGAAAGGGCGGTCTCCTAAAATCAATTACGTAGTTTCTCGATTGTAAGGCGCACAGTTTTTTCAAGAAAATTCTGTCTTCAGTTGTAAAGTTAGTGTTGAAATTGGGGTGCGTCTTATAGCCAAGTATTTTTGCGCAACAAAATCTTAAGATCGCAATTTTAGCAGAACTTACAGTTAAAAAGGGAAAAAAAGAACACTTGTTGTTGATAGAAAAAGGAGAAAAAGCAGAGCTTTTTGGTCTGAGGTGTAGCGAAGATTGCGTCAAATTCAATCCTTTATTCCTATGAGTTTAAAAGGAATACTGCTTTTAAAACACTTCTATTGAAAAGCAAACAAACGTACATTTGCATACGTGCTTAACAGCAAGTGCTCGGTAACATTATATCCGACGAGGGCCCTTCGGATGGATGTACAATTTGTTGTCATCCGCAGCTCACCGGGAAACAGAAAATGTTGCCGGTTGCGCCTTTTTCTCACCAGGATTCTGAAATGCCGTATTCACGGGCAATTTCACGATTGTCATTGACTGCCTTGGCTTCGGCAACGGTGTTCAACTTAACGTTGAGGTCATACTTGTGACGGCGAGTGCTTAGCATATTTGCGATTGAACAAAAAGTTGAAGGTAAACTCTGACTGTTTACGATGAGAGCATATCAGTTAGTTTTGCAACGGAGTTTTAAATCATTCGGTTGATGTTATTAGAACGAGATCGGACCATTGAATATTTATTATTTAATTTTGTAAATAGAAGCATGTTTCCTAAACAGGAAGGCTGAAATAAACGAGTATGCGTTTTATGGTTCACATTACAGGTGTGAAATTTTTAGCCTTGATTTTTTCGCAGATCATTAAATGTGAGACTTTTTCACTTTTATTTACGTTAACAAAAGAGTTCGCATCCCAGTTGTCTACCGATAATTGTTCTAAGTTCCATCAAATCCTTTTTTTAACTCTCAATCTTTTGGTACGTCTTATGACCGAATATTTTCACGTAATTTTCAGTTTGGGAACTTGGCATGACTAAGTTGCTAAGTTTGGGGGTGCGTCTCTCCCATACCCTCTTGGGTAGTGCATACTTGAGGGTTATTTTTAATCTCTTCTATACCCTCCTGAGCAGTGTATACCTGAGGGTTACTTTTGATCCACTAATTTGCATAAAAATTTCTCCGGCGCAAAGCGAGTCATGCAGAGTTGTCAGCTCTCTCCTCAAAAAAAAAGCGGTAACTACTAATTCAACAAACAACAAAAAATGTCTTCATTGGACTTTCTGACTCTTAAGCAAAGATCGCGGATACAAAAATAATGGAGCCAACTATATTCAAATTTCTCTCCGTACAAATACTGGTGAATTAGAAAAAATATCAGTTAATTATGTGGGAATCAAAGGGAAATTTACCTAAATCATTCGTTAACTCGTTAACCTACTCTCTCATGATATAACCACCTAACACTGATCACAATGCTGCGTGAAACTAGCTATTAGCTTAAGTTTTGATAAAAATAAAAAAAATAAAAATAAAAATTAAAAAAAGACGCCTTCTCTTATCGTGGATGAATTCGGCGTGGAAACAGGTGTTTGGTCTCCGTGGTGACTGGCTCTTTTCGAAAGCATGCTCCAATTATTATTTACTCTCCCATTACGTTTATTGAAATAATGTTAATATGTTTACAAATAGATAAACTAAAAGCGGATTTCTGTACAGGAAATTACCCTTCTTGTGTTTCCGCTCCCTCATCTCTTCTTACGGGTGAATCCTATGCTGAATTCACAATAAGGAAAGATCTACTTTGTTTTTAGTTTTATTACAGTTCACATCTTTCTCTTCCAAGGTGGTTGCACCTGTAAACAATGTCTGCTTTTTGTCTGCAGGACTAAATTACATAATTAGTAAATTTGTTCGAAGAGCACGTAGCTTGTTAATTTATGAAAAAAGGCAGTAGTCACGGTTAACACTTTCTTCTCCAAAAATTTTTTATTTATCCTCTTGTTATGCGACAGTCTTTAAACCCTATTTCTTTGCAACATTCCTAATAAGCTGAATTAGGTTCCTGACAATTTCCATATTATTAATCTTGTTTTTGCTTTCCCAGATCTTAGCTGGGACTGTATGAAAATTTAGGTAGAAATTCATTTTGTATCTCGAAGGGGAACCGACTCGATTCAAGGAATTGCACCGCGTTCGCCCCCTATCGAGTTCGCCCCTTCGAGTTCGCCCCTACCTTATGCCGTGTTCGCCCCCACACTTTTCGAGTTCGACCCCATCAAGTCGAGTTCGCCCCTTGATTGAGTGATATCCAGATGAGTTGATTTGTGACGAAGGCACTAGCAGAATGTGCTAAATGTCACGTTGACAACATTGCTTAACTTAGTATGCTTGAAGTTTCAACATTGCGTACTTTACAGCACTGTATCACTGTATTCCCTGTCTTGTTAAATAATTACTGTTCCCCTTCTTTATTGGTTCTTAGTAAAATATCGATGGTTAAGAATTGAGCGGTCATTGATGAATATATTTTTTTTGATAACTAACAGACTGAATGGTATTCAATTCGGGGTTACGGTTCGTAGGGCTTACGTTATTTTTCTTTCTACATCTCACAGCCTCTTCACGATCCTGTCAGCGAAATAACGATAGATGGTTAGAAAACCCCAAACGAGTTTGCTACTGCAGCAGCAATAATTCAGTAACGTGTTTCAAACTAAACGAACCAGTATGTATGGATATGAAGGGAATTTTACGAAGCTATTCTGAAATTTGGATGAACAATTCCTGTGTAACATGTTCTTGTAGCAATGGTAATATTAGCTGCACTTTATATAATATCAGTATCGCATATGGAATGTTTACTGTCAAGACATCTTCGACTTGTGAACGATGCAGCACTTCGTCCATCACACAAAAGGCCCTTACCGCTTGTGAAGGTACGAAAATGTTTAGATGAAGTCCCCTTTATAATCTATTAACGACGACTGGTCTCACCCCAGCTCTGTTTCTCCTGGAAATTATGTGATCCTCCCAAAAGGCTCCAAAACTCCCCCCCCCCCAACCACCACCATCCATAGGCGATAAATCACTGGCTGCCGTAAGACCTTGAAATATCAAAACAATAACTTAACGATTTAGTCACTTCTTATAATGATCACATCGTTCCAAATGCATACTCTGCTTGTCTTAATCGATCGGGCGTATCTAAATCATCTCGGTTTTAAAGTACAGCTATAGGACCTACAACATCGAACTCTACTCACTTTGGAGTGAAGTAAGGGGTTATTGATTGTGATTCGCACCGCAAGAGAGACCGCACGACTATTCATTCTAGAAGCACGGAAGACCATGACCGAACAACACGAGAACGAGGAGAAGTGGGTAGAGGCTCGCGAGAGAGAAAACTCTGCAAAGCAGTAGAGAACTAATCATGCGTTACTGTTGAGAAACCAACCAATCCCAGAGCAACATAAGTCTTCAGATGATGGAGCTTAACCAGTGTACTATATTCCTCGATTGAACGGTTGAAACGCCGCGATCCTTCACGGGGCAAAGGACACACACACAAAAAACCTATCCCATTTGTTTTGTAGATAATTGTTTTTATTTCGGTCAAAACAGAAAGCGATACTACTCTAATCTTTTTTTCTGTGTTCACATTCTTAATTTCAGCCTATCAGAGAGGGAATTTGTTCAAGTGTAAAGAAGGAAACATTTTTATTCGTGATACTCATCGCTGCAATGGAATACATGAATGCCCAGATGCATCAGATGAAACTGGCTGTGACAATGGTATTGAGCTTTACAGGCCTTAAACTGACATTTTGCATTACTCTTTAAAGAGTTAACCACTTACTGGGCAAAAATTACACTTTGTTGTCATTGTATTTTGGAAACAAAGAGAAAACATCAGAGTTGATTAGCAAACTCTCTACAGATCATAATGATTGAATTTGGATGACACAAGAAATATAAAAAGAGTCTGAAACGGGTGTGTAGTAAAAACAAAAAAAATTACAAAAAGTCTAAAATTTTGTTCGTCAGAAATTCTCGATGCGTTTCAGCAGAATATCGTTTTTGGAGCTCATGCGCTCTTTCTTTTAGAATGGTATTATGTGAGGGTCCCTGGCAAGGTATGAAGCGGGGGGGGAGTACCTACCCTGTATGAGCCATACAGGCGAGTACAGCCCCGAAGGGTAAGGTTTTGAGCTGTTTTGGTCTGGAAACAGGTATAGACGGTTTTTAATGGAACTGCGAGAAAAATAGAGAAAGGGAAATAACATAAGTGTATCTCTTTTTTTTTTTTTTTAAGTGTCGATGAATTTTAGTGATTTTTGACCGGTTAAAAAGTGAACGTAATTGATGCGGAAACTAGTACAACTTTGAGAAAGCAGGTCTGAGAACGGGTGTGGCGTGTTTTGGTCCGAAATGAGGCCAGTAAAACCGGACGATCGGCACTGATCAAGAATTCCAAGTAGTTTTCTCCCATCCCTCTTCCCCGAGTCTCGTGTTTATCTTACTCTGCCTAGACTAACTATGATAGCAGAGGTAATCTCTGGTAGGGGAGGGGTGGGGAACCAATCTGCATCGTTTGAAAGTAATTTGATTTTCGTTTTGGTCTTTTTCAGTCCTTTGCAAAGACGAAGAAGGAGATACGTACGTTATAAAAAGTGATAAAGGTTGGCAAGCGTCGAGTTGTCTTCTCTGCCAATGCAGGAAAGGAATGCTTGAGTGTCGAAAGAGATTAGAAATTAACTTTCCTGGCTACTTTACTGATTTCTATGTCCACGAAGAGATTTGCACACAGCCTTCATGCAAGATTAAGAAGTTTTTAAGCAAAAAAGACGAATGCAAAGGTAAACATATTCAACCGTTCATCTTTAATCTTACGCAATGATCTCAGGTACCTCTTGAAAAATGCAGCCTTACAGTCGTAAGTTTCCCATTCACAATCTGTGTCCATCCTATCCATTCGTAACCACGCTTGTTCTAATTAGGTAATTTTTTTGGCTTTGTTTCCCGCTGTTTTCTCATCAGGTGTTGAACTGATAGAGAACGCTGGAATAGCGTTCAAAGGTCAAAGTTGGCGACATGGTAATTGTTCCTTCTACTTCCCTGGGGTTATCGGCACGCGAGATGTATGTCCACCAATGAGCAGACCCATCTGTTATGTTTACAATGGAAAAATCTGCTGTGCTAAGCACTGTCCAGGTAATTTATGGCACTTTGATGTCAAAGCCTGGAATACGACGTTAAGGAGACTCTAACCCAGACTGCAATTCATTTGTGAATTCATTTATACCAAGAATTAATTTATACACGAACGAATTTCATCAGTTTACAACCTCTCGGTAGTGGTATAATGATTTAAATCAATTACGTAAACTTTGTTAACACAGAGACAAAAAAAAAAACAAAGACTTACCATCTGTTAAATACAAATTAATTAGCCTAGTGCCAACTTCAAAAAGCGGAAGGACATTTCCAAAGGTCGTGATTTTTTTTGGTATAGTTCTTCTTGAAAATCAAACTCCCTTAAAACGATCGAATGCAGCAAATGAGCACTTTTTTTAGCTTTAAAAAACGTGAGTTCATCTTCGTCTCGATATTCAGGTTATTTTTCCTTTATTTTCATTTCTTTCCCAAGATTTGAAAAACTACCTCACAAATTTCCGCACTTTTAGGAAGATTCAAGATTCTGTTATAGTGGTGTGTCTATAAAGTTGAATCTGTGATTGTATTTTCTTTAGGTCTTCAAGAAATTGCAAATCACATCAGAGGGAATCCTACTCTATGTCCCAATGGTCGCCAGCTAACATCAGCTGACAGTTTTTGTTCACGAAATTTTGACCTCAAAAATTGTTCATCAGGTAAACTCTTTTCTTATTTTGTAGGTTCGTTTTGTATTATTACTTGACTCAAGAAAACGATATTCCTCCACATCTTTTTAGCAGTTGTAACTGGCCTGTGCCTTTCACTTAGGAGAGCTTCACCTCTCTGTTTTCATCTCAAGTATGCTTTTGATTTTTTTACCGCAAAAAGCCGCCAGGAACTTTTTGCCTTTTGACATCAAACCTCCAAGAAGCTATAGAGTCGTTATAAATTCAACGGTACTGCATTGAAGTCCTTGCGGCCTCTAAGACTCAAATGCAAATAAAACACGGTTAGCCGCAAGAAGTTCTGCTTGCGGGGGGAAAAAGAAGTTCTTGTACGTGCTATGATTTTGGAGGAGAACCCTTAAGGAAACATGTAAAACCGCTAAAGTTACTACAAAAATGTCATAGGGACGGGAAAAACAGGCCTTGCATCTTTATTTCCATTTTCTCAGTTAAGAAATTATGATTATTTCAGCGCAAAACCTGAATTTGTGCTCTCTCTTTCTGTATCAGATGTTACTTGTCGGGATGAAGACTTAAACCATTACTTTGAAGGCTCAACATGGCGTGTCGGTGACTGTATGAAGTGCGCGTGCAATCAAGGGAAAATTCATTGCTTAAGGAAACTACGGCTGGTACTTTTTTCGAAATTTGGATACGAAGATGTTCTAGAGTACATAGAAACCGACAACTGCAACCAAAGAGAGTGCAATGTGGCGGAATTTATGAAAAAGAAGCACAGAGTGTGCTCAGGTGAGTTCACGAAGGAAACTATGGTTATTCAAATGAAATATATTTAGTATATACGTGTCAAGTGTACAAATGCATTCCATCAATATCAAGAGCTCGTCAGGAGTCACTTGTTTTGTCTTATAACGTTAGGAAGAACTAAGTGCACTTGCTTAATTTTTCAACTCAAAACGATAATAATAATCATAGTAATGATAATAATAAACTGGGGCTTATATTGCGCAAACTAACGTGTGTATCAGTGTGATCAAATGAACATTACATTTCAGACCATTTGGCTATAAATTTGGCAAAGGTTAAAGAGAACTTATACCTCAACGTTTTATAAATTTCTGTACGGATCTAACTTCATCTTGTTTCCCTTTGGGGAGAGACTGATGTATTTCAAAACTTGATAGAGATTAAACTGAGTTCTTTGATTCGAATACACGGCGTGTACAAATATCGCTCACTATATCGAAACTAATATCATTTGGAGTGGCAAAAAAAGAAGCTTTTGAATAGGAGGTCAATAAATAATTTTATTTCTGTGTGCAACAACCAAAAAAATTTATAATTCTACAAGAGCATTTTCTTTTACACGCAATGTGTGTGGTGATTCGCAGTTTGCGTGTTGCGCGCGTGCAGTGCATGGGTTTTGCATGCGCGTCAAGCGCGTCTAATGTGCGGTTCACGTGAAAGGTTCTGTACTTCAAGTCATACTCATTCCCGAACTATAACTAATTTAAATAATTTATTTATTTATCTCAAAAATGAAACGATTTTAAATATATTTAAAGCTTGTTCCTGGAATGGTAAGCTCTATTACGATGGTGATCGCTGGAAAGAAAACGGCGTGGATTTTTATTGTAGCTCTGCATCTGAAAAAGTGAGACCTGGATGCTATGTGGAAGCTGGTCTAGTTAACTGCACTGGTGCTATATCAGGTTGGTGTCCGTCGAGTCCATGTGGTACAGAGGAAGAATGCTATAAACGAACTAATCGTGTCCTTTCTTGTTTGAACTTCTAAAGTATATTTTAACAGGAAGTCTTTCTCTGAGAAATATCATATCTCTCCAGAATTAAGGAATCTGTCCTCAATATCTAAAGACAAGCTCTTCTTGTGTGCAAGTGGTGACAAGATCAGACCGTTTGGTGACAGATGCAATAAAGAGGCTAATTGTGATGACCAATCAGGCGAGTGGAATTGTGATCATTGTGAGTAGCATACCGAGAGAGGGATAATTTAAAAATCTATATAATCAGGTAATTTAAAAATCTATATAAAGGACGGTGACGTCACTGTTCACTAAAAGCCACAGCAAGGAGAGAAGGGGAGGAGGGTGAGGAGGGGGACGGAGAGGAGGGAGAGGGGGTAAGTAAAGGAAGAAACCTCCTCTTATACCACTTAACCAAACTGCATAAACCACATTTCTTCAAATTATGCACAGATGATAAATGGCAATTGCCTTTATCTAATTATACAGTTATTGTTAGTATTCTCATGGAAAATCTTTTTCTCATGGAAATTGCACGGCTCAAAAGAGACAAATGCCTGAAGACTGTAACTAAGTACGAAATAACTGCAGATTATTCTGGTCATAAGTCAAACCTATCTGGTTTCAGGTTCTTTCAGCCATAAATGTTTCAGAGATTCATATGTGACCAATTTGACATGGAAAAGTTGCGGATGTGAGAAGAAAGCTTTAGCGGAGGTCTTACAGCACAAGGTGAGTTTGATAAATCCACACCTATAAATTCTTCTATAGTTTCGACGTCATAGCTCTTTCTGGCTACTCACTAAATGTATAAGGCGCTAAGGAGTGAGAGAAGTCTTGTTATTCATAAAATTCACTCTGCATCCTAAAAAATACATGGCTACAAATTATATTTCCCAATCAAGGCTTCAAATGGGTGGACAAGGAATTCTGCCTTTGTTCAAAATTATGTTTGATTGTACCTTAAGACACCTTCTTTAAATAAATATAGAGACCATCGGCATGATTTCCGACGTAAATACATGTTGACCATGTATCACGGTCAACCAAATTTTTGAGAAGCAAAGCGTAGCTCTAGTCATATCTTGAAGAATATATCATGAGGGGAACTTGGATGATAAGAGGTAGTCCTCCTCTAAACCAATTCATTTAACCGCCCTATGTTTTGACAATTCTGTGACCTTCCTTAAGCGCAAAACTTCTTTAAAGGCCTTTATTAATGGCCCAGGCCGGGCCCGTTCCTTGAATATCCCGGTAACTAAACGGGCCCGAAGCCATATTTTGAAATAAAATTTAAAAGAATAGAGAAGCAGGTTCTAGCACCCTAACCAGCCCAATTTGTTTCTTTAGCTAATCGTTTTATTGTATAATTCGCAAAACTTTTGAGACTCCCATCTTGAATGAAAACAGAACAGTTTTACAGGCCCGTTAAGTAACTGGGACTTCGAAAAACCAAGACACAGATCCAATATGGTACAACCTCGAGTTCATCCAATCGAGGCTGACTGGTAAATTGCCTGCATACAGCAAGCAAAATATACCGAAAAAAAGTTTCCATCTTTGACTTACTCTTGACCGGATTTTTATAATTAGTTACTAAGGAAGACGAGGTTCTCGTTTGTTTTGCATCATTTTTTCGCGAAATTTAATGTGCAGCCATCGAATTCTTCTATTGTAACCATTTTCCTGGCTTGAAATAGACAACTGGAGTAACGACTAATAATCCAACAGAGATTCAGATAAGTTAGCTTTGATTGTGCATGGTGCTCTTTTGTTGTGTATTTCTGTTAATCAGGCGCTATTCCTGTCCTCGTTTTAGATGTCTAGTGCCAACGAAACCAATTTTACAGCAGTTTTAAAAGAGGTGATCCAGTTTGCAGAAGAAGGAAATTACACAAACTCTAAAGTTTTCCATGATCACCTCAAAGACTTATTCCACAGTGCAACAAAATTAGTTACGCCACTCACCCAAGAAAATGCTGATTTAGCCCTCCAGTATTGCCAGGTAAAAATGCAAACGGTTAAAACTTTGAAAATCTACAATACACAGCGGCGAGTTACAGTGACATAAATGGAGACGAAACCAGTTCAAATGAAGACCACTGAACTTTGAATTTGATGCAACATCGCCAAAATATTTCTTTATTTTCTTTACCCGAGTCATTGAAAAGACCCGAAATGTATTTTTGACAGCAGGTAATGTAACTTTTTTTCTGAGAGGGGAGGTATTGAGGAAGTTCGACTCTTAAGCTCTCTTGTTGTTTGTATTAAACCAAAGTAGTCACAGCAGCCAATCAGAGGGAAGGAAAATATCACAAGGAGCCCACGGGAAACGCGGGAAAACGCGAGTGACTAAGCCGCGCTTGGTCTTAGTTTTGAATCTGATTGGTTGAAATAACATAGCGAATTAAGGCAAAACCAATGCAACCATACATTACTTTCAAAGCTCAATTAACACTTGCTCGACACAAGTAGTAGGTGCTTTTACTTCCGACTGATGAGAAATATTCTAAGAGATCTTCTCAGCTCGCTATTGAATATTCGTGCCGCTTTGTTACTGTCAGTCTTCAAATCAGTGTATTTTTGACAACTGAGGCTTTTGATAAATAATAGCGTTTAAATTTTAGATATCTTAAAAATGACAACATACAATAAATCATTCACCTTTTAAAGCCTCATTCACAGGCGTTGTTTGGTCCTGTCACACAACGTGTCATTCCAGATCAACTAGTGGTAACGAGGGAGAATGCGTTGCGTGACCTGATTAAACAACAGCTACTGGGGAAGCCTAACAACTTTCTTTTTGTCCCTATGGTTACAGCTGATTATCAACGCTGTTTTATACTCTCCTGTTTACGATCAAGTTCCAGTATTTTGTCGGCTTGTAAAGGTAAGCTGGTAATCATTTCTTTACTACCATCCGGTATACAAGATGTGGTAAATGGTACGTATATATATAAGAAAAACAAACAAATAAGAAAGAAAATAAAGAAAAGAAGCGATGGAAGAGAAAAGGGGCTGGAAGAAAACGATAAAATAGGAACAGAGACGGAGAAAAGGACAAAAGAAGAACTTATAATTAAAAATTAAGTGGCTCCTTGAAGTAAAAAGGACTCCATGAGGTTATTTTTGAGGTTTCTCTCGTGATTGCAGCACAAAGCCATTTCTCCCCATTATTTTTGGTCCAGCAGTTTTAGGGGCAAAGAGAAGCGTATGGCGAATTGAGTGGAGTCTACCACTATAGCCTAGGCTGAGGCGGTAACACAAGATGCGAAAAGATAAAACTCTACTAAAGCGCTCTTTTTAATTTTTTTCTTTTAGGGTTATGAAATTAGAAACAGACTGATAAAGAAAGCACTTGAGTTTCTACGTCAGGCACCGCAAAATACGACAGCGTATCAGTTTGGATCAAGAGAGCCATTTCCTCTTCTTAAAGAGTAAGTCAAATCATTCCGTTAAACTGATTGTTCAGGTTCCTTCTTGCTCTGTCTGTTCCGTGGACGTAAGTTCCATTGAGGTAAAATGAAAGTAGGAGAAGCTATATTATCATATGACCCGCACAGCCGTGTGTGTAAGACAAAAGGAGACCGTCCTGCGCTCGGTCCAGTTCATGACCTCGAGCAAAATATTTTCCCGTAAGGCCCTTCCACTCAGTTGATAAGTGAATAGTCCGGGATACCTCATGACGGGGTCAGTAGTAGGGTTTTTACATGTTATGAGCCTGTAATCAGAAAGTCGCACTAGTGGAGATGGGAGAGGTATTAAAACGGGTATAGATTTGCCTAAATTATATGATAAGTTCAATTTTACACGCATATTGATATTTTTTCCCCTTACTGGAGGACAGACGCATAGATGACGTCATCGTTAGCAATATCTTGCTTTTTTATATCATATAGAATAGATTGATTCCATGGTGCCGTGCGTCTGTACAGTAATAGATCAATGTGCTATCAATGTGCTATTTTTTTTGTAATTACTATATATTGTCGTCGTCTGAGTCTATACAGTAAACAGACGAATAACAACATAGAATTCATTTGGTTAAATAGATTGCCCTTTTGATAAGTTCCAGAATGACTCAAAATGATTGTTCATGTGTTTCAGAAAAAAATTACTTAAGCATTGGAAATTGTACCAATTCTTTTCTTTTTTTTTTCATATTTTTCAGGAAACCGAAACTTGATAATATAGCGAGATTAAAGTTTGACCCATCCATCCCAGTCATCCGGAGACTGAGACCGGATTTTAGGGTGAAAGTGTCACCAATACTACCAGCTGGCACGAACGTTGATAATCCTGATCAGAAAATCGGTAACATTAACAACAACACCAAACAAGAAAATGCCGCGAGTTCAGATACATCAAACATAACGAACAGGCGTGGGGTAAGTAATCTAGATGGAGGGTCCCCGGAATAGCTCGAGCCGATTGAACTCAAGCTTCACAAATTCTAGAAACGTTTTCGTCAATCCAATGTAAAACGTGCAAGGCAGATGGAAAGAAATCTATCCGGAACATTTTCAATTCTTAATCAAAGATTTGTGGTGGTCCTGAGTTAGCTGATGGTGTCAACATCCTAGGCACGAACTTCAATATACTACGTAATAAAAAAACAAAAACTAGTACTGTTCTAAATGTGAGAGCAAGACCGCAGGGCGGGGAGGAGTTTGCTCAGCATATTTTAAATCAAGAAGGTGTGGAGCTTGCCAATCACGCGGAAATTAATAGAGAACTGCAAATAGACTGTTGTCCTTGAAAGTTTACTTTTCTTTCGTTTGCTGTTTTGCAAAGACGAGCAAATTGGTTACACAAAGTATCAACTGTTAATGTTAGTGAGCTTAAATTATCTTCCTGGTCCTCAAAAAAGAGGACTGGGAATGGCGTTTTAAATCATTTTCTTGAATTCTTTGCAGGGATGAGGAGGGGAGTTGCTCCCTTATCCTCTCCACTAGCTAAGGCCTTTAAGGTTGAAAGGCCACGGCTGCGGAGAAACGCCAACTGACGCATCAACTGTTCCGTTTTCCAGTGTATAAAATAAGTTGTGGGTCCTTTGAAATTGTAGGTGTACAATTTTAGACTCGATGGGCGAGCTTTACATTGCCAACCACTCTTAACTCCGTTCAACTGAGTTCATTGAACAAGAAGTTGACAAACAATTCAGATATAAATCACACGTCAACTTGGCATTGTTACTTCAAATTTTGCCTTACCCTTCAGAATAGTGACGTAACGGGCCAAGCAAGGGAGGAAACGGGGATAGAAAATTGCTCTGCAGTGACATTTCATGAGGTAACACGAAGAAAATGTTCAACTCAGAGGAGAATTTAATTAAGGATTGAAATGATTTTCCTTTATTTTACTCCTTGAATTGTCTAGAAAACGTGTGCTATCCCCTCTGTTATCAATTACGAGCAAAATTCAAAACTATCTGAAATGTGGATAATTTAGAGATAGTAGTGCTCTGACGAAGAGCTAACGCTCGAAACGTCAGCTTTGAAACTCTTGACGGCGGCCAATTTACGTTATCAACTCAGATGATAATACTAAATTACCCTGTTATACTCTCCCACCGACGCAGCACCATAGTTTCTTTAGAAACTTACCCCTTTATTTATCTGAAATCTGATTGGCTACTTTACTCCGTATCTATTCTGTCAAAGACGGCGAGCAAAGGGAGTAGCATAACATTGTGTGACTGGAGAAATAAAGAGAAGAAAACACTATAAACAGAAGCCTTTCCTGTGGTTAATTTTTTAAAAAGACAGTAGAATGATATTTAGATAAATAGTTTATTTCATCTAGCCTTTTATTGCCTTCTCTCAATTTCGGCTGAGCCCTCATCAACTACCAGGAGATATGAACCCGAGTTCTTAAATTGGATTTTTTAGGGTTCTGTTCTGCAATCACTTGAGTTGTGGTCCACCTGCGAGGATCATATCTTTGCTTGATTTCCATTGCTGGTCAAAAAAATTATTTTTCATCAAAAGTTGGTAACAAGATCTTTTTCTAGAACCTTAAGTTTATTGGTCTCCTTTGCCGTCGTTTTATGGGATGCCATTCAATGTATCTGCTAGGTACAGTCCTTCTATGAAATACTAACCCAAGTAATAGAATTGATCCAGTTTTTTGTCTATTATTTACCCAATTACTTCTAGGAAAAGATGATTTTTACCTATACTCCACCTACTTCAAAAGAAATCATAAAGCACTACGAAATTCAAAGTCGCATGGAGTTAGTGCTCATGTGCATTTCTATGGTAGCGGTGGTTCTTGCACTCGTACTTCTTACATATCTGAGGTAAGTTCCAAATGTGCTCAGCAACTTCGATATTTTTTCAGTTGACCTTTTAAAACAGAGTGGCCACAACTCCAACCACAATTCACAATTTCACTGATGCTTTCTTCTTTAATAGGATAAGGACCACTGAGAAAATTTTCATCCACAAAAATCTCCTCCTTTCACTTGGGCTTGGAAATCTTGTTTTTGTTCTGGACAAAACTCTATTTGTTACACGAAACGAACACTCGGTAAGTACAATACATCGCAGTCATCACAAGTATGACATCCTTTGTAGACAGGAACACTTTGTTGACCATCAACGAGGGATTGTCAAAGATTTGCTGTCTTTCTGCATTTTTCTCATTTGTAAAACTATGGATCGTTTATTGATTCCAGATCAAAACAATGAGCAAGTTTGAAGGATAAGTTAAGTGCTACTTGTTTCCATGTCGGGAATGGTTTTTGCCCAGTTCCTTTGGAATGGGGACTGAAGTTTCTAGCAACCTTTCTTTTATACAGACATGAAATTCCCCTCGAAGAGGGAAAAACACCGATAAATATATATGTATGTATATATATATATATATATATATATATATTGTGGGAAATTGTAGCAAATGCTGTTGGAAAGTGCTCAATACACATGAGTGTAGAGCGAAATACAGTTCAAAATGACTAAAATGAAACACGCATGATTCTCCCCAGACAGATTCTGACGAGTGCGTAAGCACGAAACTCAGAGTTACAGGGAATCATGCGTGTTTCATTTCAGTCATTTTATACTGTATGTATATATATATATATGTGGTTTTTTTAGGCTCTATGTTCGACAGTGGCGGTCGTTCAGTTTTTTTTACACATTGCGCTGTTCACGTGGATGCTTGTTGAAGGGATGAATCTTTACAGCAAGCTTATCGTGGTTTTCAATACTCCCAGACGATATGTCACCTACTTGGCAATAGGATGGGGTAAATATACCAGTTATGCAATTATTATATCTATTATTCCATAAGTGCGCGTCTGATGTGAGATGATAAACAGTCAACGAGGCCGATAGGACTGAGTCGTCTATGATCATGTCATATCGAACAAGCGCGAGTGGAATAGTTGTCTCATTAAAAACGCCCCAAAATGTAGATAAATCTTCCCAACTTTATTTTGTTACAATAAACGGAATGTCACGATGTACAAAAACACTTTTGCTTTAACTTGTCTTCATGCGCGTGCATGTTATAATGGCCCGTAACCCATGACTGCTAAGCAAATGAAACCTCTTGAATTACATTATCCAACGATCCTGTTTTTAATGACATGGAATATCTCATAATTAACCAGCATTTTCTTAGTAGACACAAGAGCCCTTGAGAAAATTTCTGCATGAAGGGAATGAAAGTGAAAAGTTAAATATTTCATGGTATATCACGAGGAAGTGTTGCATAATTATAATATTCCAAGCCAAAGAGAGAGCCTGCTGACTATTGTTTGCAAGTGAGGTGAGACATGCCACGGCATACCACGAGAAAGTATTGCATCATTATAATATTTCATGCCAATGCCAAATGCGCACATACTTCATCTTCAATGAATGTCGAACGCACAAATGCTTTCCTAAATTCTGATTGACTGTGTTCTTTTGCTTCAAGGAAAAAAAATTGAAATTATTCTCAATTTCGTCTAATAAGATATTAAGCATTAAAAATTCAGCGTGCTAGAGCTCAAACTTAGGCTCCAACCTAACGAAAACATAAACATAAACGTTTATATCCAGACTCTCTTTGTTGTATTCCTCAAGGAATCCCAGCAGTCCTTGTGGGATTGATAGCGGCTGTCAGACCCAGTACCTTTGACATGGGTAGTGCTCTGTATGTGGACATACAGTGTGGCTCACTAAGCCTTCAAGCTGAGATCGAACGAACAAGGTAAGTTAGATATCTTAAAGTGCACAGATCAAAAAAATAAACCGCTTAAGCTTAAACATATGACCATAAAATCAAGACAAACAGACTAAGATATTTTGGCAGGTGTTGGCTAAACGGAAGTCTCTGGATATACAAAGGACCAGTCTTGGCCATACTTGTGGTATGTATTTTTTCCCTCTTAAAATGTATTTCCATAGTAATACGGCTAAAATACATTATTAATCAGAGAAAGTTTTAATATGGTCTTACTTCGATATGAACATATTTTCTTTCAGTTTCATTTTTATCTTCATTAATATTTTCGTCACCGTCGTTGTCCCCTAACTTTTATAGCCTGGATATTTCTTAGATGATCAATTTTAAATCTGAACCAAAAGAGGAATATTAATAAAATGCCGGAAACATTTGCAATGCTTGTGCAAAGTGATACTAATTTTACATTTGGAGGGAGATGGCCGGATGTCGTCACAGTAATCGATGACCCTTTACGCCTTAACTTTAGTATGCATATTCTCTGTACTATTATCTTAACATATGGAACTAACAGGGAGAGTTTGTTTAACAATCAAGATCTTCTTTAGTAGGCGCTGGATCATTTCTTTTATTCTTATATCCGTATTGTTGTTATTCAGGAGTGTTACTGTAAGGAGACTTGATGCTGAACACTCTTAAGGAGTAAAGGGTTAAATGCATATGATGTTTTTGCTTTAAGTCTAACTGATCTTTTTCTCGAGTGAACATCTGAGGAAAGAAGACATTAACTGATAAACTGATACATAAGCACAAGTGTTTTCCCCGTCCCCGTCCTCCCCCCCCCCCCCGAAAAGTTCAGGTTCCTTAAACTTTCTTTATGAAATACAAGGAAAAAAGAGGCTAAAAGTTAGCTGAGGATGAGAGTTAAAGCTATTCTGAGAGTTTTATTACGCCGATATTCAAAAATAAATGGCAATTTGAGAATTTTTAATGAGCTAAATTCTTTTCCAGTTTTGCCATGTGCAAAAACATCATATGTATTCTTCCAGTTTTTCCATGTGAAACCTCTCTTCATCTCCTCACCTGTACTCACCAGTTGCAGTAGAGGATATAGTAGCTACTCTTTCCAGCTGTTATTCTTTCGCGCATTTTGAACTTTCAATAACAAAATCCCGTTTGAACTTGCAGATAAACTTGATAATGTTTGTGATTCTTGTGCGTGTGATTTTTGGGAAAATTTCCGCAAGATTTGGCAAGGACCGTCTCAATGTCGCAAAGTAAGTTTGAATCTACAGAGATCACTTCTGACTAAGTTGATCGTGAGTACGATCAATGTATCTTTGATTTTCTTTTAGCTTTTTTTAGTTTGGTTTCATTGGTTTGGATTCCTATTGATTTTACAGGCGAAGTGCGAAAAGCATTTTTGTTCTTCTTCCGTTACTCGGTGTGACGTGGATACTGGGATTTTTTGTGGAGTTCCACTATGTTCTTGGATACGTGTTTCTATGTCTCAACTCCACACAGGTATTCACATAGTGAAAGGTTTAGTATCATATCAGTGGTAACACGTGGAAAATCTAGAGTGTGCTACATTCAAGTTACGTATGGCACATCGCGCGCAAAATAACGTAGCGCATTACATTATTATAACAACCATACTTAGTGCAAACTCAAAGAATATTTGTCTGAACCTTTGACTCCCGTGAGTGACCAAGACAGAATTTCTCCTTACAATATCAATACAGTATCAAGCAGACAAGTGATGAGAATAAAGAAAAATATCGATTAGGGGATTATTAGTTGATCCAAAACCAAATTCTCCGAGCTAACATCGTAAGAGTTGTATGGCAGACAGTAGGGAGAATTGCAAATGAGACCCTGGGAGTAAAAGGGTTAAGAGGCCTACTGGTCTACCAGGTCTGCTATTTGTTCATTCGTGATCCAGGAGAACAGAAACTTTTCTCTGGCTGGTAGCATTCCGAAGGATCATTTCCCCTTAAAATGAAAAACTAATATCTCACTCCCACGGTTACCTTCTGGCAAATCATTTCCTCGTCCTTTTACCAAGTGCCTACCACGCAGGGTAGTCTTATTTACGTTTTTAGACTGAGGTTTTGATTTCCCACAGGGTATCATGTTTTTCATCTTTCACTGTGTGTGCGATGACCAGGTACGCTATTTATTTACTTATTTATTCATTCATTTACCTTCTTAACTTTTTCATAACAAAACATATGCATATGTCAAAACTGGAAAAAAAATTTAACTTCTTGAAAATTGTAACACTCCCATTGCTTTTTTAATATCGACGTAACAAATCTCTCGGTATAGGTTCTAGTCTCATCCCCAGATTACAGTCAATATCAAACTCTTAGGTCCAACAGGCCATAAAAAAGTTATATACCAAGCCTGAAGGTTCAGCAACGTCAGAGAAACCGCAACAAGTCACCAAGGAGACTGGGAGCAATACTCGTTCGGCATTAGGTATGTACAAATCTTTTACATGACGTACAGGAAAGTTTTAGGGAGGGGAGTGTGAAAGCCCGGCCCCTCTTTTTTTTTCCCTTGTATTTCATAAAGAAATTTTAGGGAATCTGAACTTTTTGAGGAGGGGGAAAGAAAAACGCTTGTGCTTACGTAACAGTTAATTTCTTACGGTCTTCTTGGATGTTTTGGATTACCCGTAACCTGTTTATTTATCGTATTTATTAGTCTCCTATCTTCCTTTCACATTATTATCACCATAAAAGCCTCTCTGGAGGTTTCTGTATCGTGCCTACACCCTTTCACGACGGGGTACAATAGTCTCGGTTCCTTCATGCTGCATAAACAAGGATAACCGCCCTGCCTGAAGGACTTTAACCATGGCGATTACATAGACTGCAAAACCAGATGAAAGCTTTTACCAAGTTGTTTTCTTAAAGCATTGCTAATTTGAGTTTGTCATTTTCGTTAAATTTTCCAAAAAATTCTATGTAAAATTTTCGCATTAATGCAATGGCACAAAACTAAGATAATTTATCCTTTGGAAATTTAGAAAAACTACATGACTCCTCTGATCTGTTGTGATCATTTTGCCTAAACAAACTCAATTGACCAACTATTGAGTATTGTGTATTGTTTCCCTTAGGATTGCTTTAGATGCAAGGAGACATAAGGACAATCACATCACAGGGAGCCTGAGTTTGAAGCTGAATTAAAGCCCTGTCAGTAATATAGCTTAAACATGTAAAGCATAATGTAGTGGGTTAACATCAAAATAGCAAACGCTTAGCTGGCGCCGAGATTATATAGGAGAAAACCAAAGCTGTATATTTAAGAATGTAGCAAATAGAAATCCCATTTTGTTCTTTTACGTAAAGTAAGATCGACATATACTTCATATAAATACAATTTGATTTCAGTCTCTCCTAGAATTAATTCATATGTAGCATCTTTTTATATATCTCTGTGGAACGTAGTTTACATTCCATCATTCTGATTTTCTCAAAGCCTCAAACATACAGGAAGGGTGATATAAGCGGTTTAATAAATGAGGACAAGACTAACAAGATTGTTTTAATGCAAAATTCTCCAAATAAGAATCTATATATTTATCGTAGTAATTGAACTTTTGTTAGATTGAGAAGGAAACAGCATGATAAAAAAGTTCCTGCAACTTTAAATAAAAAATTTCTAATATTAAAATAACAATTTGACATGCGGATGAAACTGGAGTAAAGAAAGAAGTGATCCTATCAGGTGGGTTGCAATTTCAGCGATTGCAAAAAAAGAAGCCCGAAAAATGGAGGCTTTGACGGACATTTGCCTAGCTCCCGACATGTGGCATCGTAGCTCTCGCGGTTATAGAGGAATGTTATGCAAGTTAATAAAGTTACATGTATAAATAAACCTTAGTTTCTATAAAGTATCTGTTTGACGGACACTACGTAATTTTTGATGATTCACGATATGTTGGACTGGTTTCACCCCGACAAGCTTCGCTACTAAACATTAACTGCCCAGATGTCGTCTAGAACGCTAAACTTCCTGATCTTTTTCAAAGTTAACAAATAAAATGTGTGCAGAACCACTGTTTGGTTTCTTAGATATAAAATCCATTGTTCTTATAAATAGCAACTGTTCACCGCAGAGGAGGTGGCTAGTAATGGACATTGAATCTACCCTTTAGCCACCGAAACTGTGGTAAATTATTGTCTTCGTACATACTGATAGTGTGAAAACAGTGAAGAAGGTGATTGCACGGGCAAGCGTGCGATGAAACGGCACGCTAAGCGTGTTACCAATCTCGTGGATGTGCCTTGTATATTTAATGAGCAGAAAAAAGACTGAAACGGCAGCTTTTTTGTGGCATGCTCAAGCCTTTGTCTCAACAAGTGTGCTAAATGTCACGCTTTACGTGCGATATGACACGCGTGCGAAAAGACGCGCGTGCGATATGCCTCGCATGTCCTATGGATAATAGCCGACTAGAGGAAGTTTACAACGAGGAAAAACACTTTAATTCTTAAAGGAATGGCACAGCGCTGCTATAAAAATAGGACTCAGATACATTTGCGGGTTAGGATCGACACAAAAAGGGCGGCATTCGCTCGAAAGTTTTGTGTTTGGCCGCGTCAACACTGGGACTTAAAGTCAAGTTCACGACGTATCAAACAACAACGTTCACTTTTATGTTCAGGGCCCAGTTGTTCGAAGGCCGATTAGCGCTAACCCAGGGTTAAATTTTAATCTGGGTTTCTTTATTCCTTTACTCAAAAGTCTTTTTGGGATAATTTTCAGTGCTTTATTTAAAGCGTCAAATAGTCATACTCTAGACTAAAAGAATTCGACTGAATTTCCTTTCAAAGTTTTTAGATCTGAAATCAGATTTCACACTAACCCTGGGTTATCTTAACCCAGCTTTGAACAACCCGTTCAGGACTATAAGTTTCACTGTAGTCTCTAATGACCCGTGGGTTAATTCTAATTACATATAGAGTATTTAGAAGTCTTCACATAACATCCGAAATCAGCGATGTTTTATATCTTCGACACAAGCGTTATAAGCCGGAATACCGCTGAAATGAGAGATGGACACGCACGCTGGACTATTTAGGTTTTCCGTCAACATGCATGTGATCGCTGTTCGTTTATTTCATGAAGCAGACTCAAAAGGGCCTACTATTAATGAAAATTTGCAAACGGAAGTTGATTTGTTTCAAACTCTGCTTCAAGGTTTGCGGCTGGATGGCAGGGCGAGAGACGTATGTAGGCGTCGTAAATGTAACGAAAATGTTGGACGAGGTTACCGTGTCATTTTGCCCGCTTAAACTGCGTGCTTTATCACTCGCAAGCGTGCCATTTCACGCACTGCCGAGCTCGACACACTTCTTCGTTCCACGTAACACGCGCGTTTGTTTTTATTGTGCGACGCGGACAATAGAAAAAATTTAATTAGGTGTGAAAATGCGACACGACGCTCCGAAGCCAGCGTGTTATTTCATTCATTTTCTTTAGTTTTGCGCGTCATTTTAGCATGTCCGCGCGTTCACCTCCTTTCATGTTTTCCCGTGGAGGGTCACCCATAAAAATGGAAAAAAAAAGATTTTTCACTCAGTTATCTTCAAAACGAGGATTGGGAAACTCGCGCGTTGTTCGGAGGTGAATTGGAAAGAGTATTCGGAGTTTGAGTAGCCAGTCAGAGCGCGCCTTCAACGTTATCCACATCCTTAGTATATACTAACAGGTCTCTTTCTGGGCTGTGGCATTAGTCTGCATCTCTTTCCTTTCTTTTTCTTTTCTTTTTTTTTTTGCTAAGATGAAATGAAGGAACAGGCTGGTCCAGTTCAGTTGCAAGGTAGTTTAAATAGCTGCTTGTCTGTCAGGTTTACACACCTGTGGCAACGACAAGTAAAAATTTACCAGTTTTTGCCTTAAGACAGGAAAAACCCTTTCTGCCGAGCAAAATTCTCGCACATCTGGAGACAAGAATACAGTTAGGTCACATGCTCTTTATAATTCATTAATTCTCTGCTTTTGGATGCGTCGTACATTTTTGTCTCGTTCTGATCGTCACGGACGAACTGCAGACGGACCGAGTTATGAAAATTATGAAATCTAATTACGAAGTCTTTCTTTGTCTGGGAACCACAATGCATGATTCTGACAGAGATGAATATGCCAGACTCCAGCATATTTTAGGACAAAATATGCTGCAGTTTAGATGAAAATTGAAATGAACACTGATTACAGCTGGAACATATTTGAGTGTGCCATTTAGATGCATTATACATTTTTGTTTCGGACAACCCATAGCGTTCTTACCGTCACAGATGAAATGAGAAATCTTTCATTGTTTGGACACCACAATGGTTGTTTTGACTGGGGGTGATCTATTTTAGGATAAAATTTGTCGCAGCTTTTTATGAAAATTAAAATCGATAGTGATTACAAATGGCAAAGTTGAGTGTACCATCACTTTCAGGCAGCAATCAATCGAGCCTTTGTAAGTTGACGAGTTGTTGCGTCACTCTGTATACTGTATTATTTTAGGTCTCATTCTATTCGCAATTTTTATTTTGTTTCAATAAAGGCTTAATGCTCTCTTGCAATATTGTCTGCTTAAATAATTGACGTTATGATTCAGCCAAGAAATTGTGTACGTGCTACACTCTTTTTAAGCTCCTCTCCCAGCCAGAGAGAGCAACATCTTGTGAGCATCAATCTTGTGTCTGTATGTGTGTTTTTTCTTTCTCCCTCTTCATTGCGAATCGTGTAACGAATACGCGGCACATTATTACGTAATAGAAATTCGAATACACCAAACTTGACTCTCTTCCTTCAAGACGAGAGTAACGCTTATAAGTTCTTGTGTAGTATCTCTTCTTCACGAGTCACTATTCAATTTATGGTTTCCCTTACCAAAAAGGGCAAACTTCCGCGGTGTTGTGAAGATCTATCAACACAAACCTTTTTCATTTCTCTGTGCTGTTTGCTTTAAATCCAAAGCTGTCATTCCTAGTTCCATCTATCCCATTGGTACATAATTTCACAGGTCTTGTAATTTTGCGTTCATCGCAATTGTAAAAAATTCACGAGAATCAAAATCCTCGCGAAATTCAATCCCTTACAGAAAGTTCAAATTACAGAAAAAAACTCTCAACAATTAATAACAAAAACATTCACAGGATATGTATCGAAAAACACACAAACTATTAACTAGTTTTATTGGTAAGTTCTATTTCGTATCTTTATATCTGTTGTTAATTTGAAAATATTCCCATAGGAGTAGAGAATTAAGCCATCGTCTTCATCTGAATAACCACATTTGAACAATAGAATGTCTTTCTTGTTCTCGTCAAAATTTAACACATTTTGCAAAAATAAAATGAAGTTGAGAACGTTTAAGTCAAGAAAAGTAATGCCCCTTTTTCCACAATCGCTTACTGAAATATTTTTCGTTATCTAAACATCACAGATAGGAATAACATGCGTAGTCAAGATGGGCATTTTAATAACAGAGATCTTTGATGAATTGTTCGGTCTGTTGGAGACTGGGATTTTCTAGATTGATAGAAAGAGCTATGAGTGACAGCTTTGGATTGTGAGAAAACAGCAAAGAGGAATGAATAAAGTTCATCACAACACCGTGGCAGCGAGAAAAAAAATTGTGCAGACGACTTTTAAAGGAAAGAGTTTATAATCGACATCAAGGCGGCTTAGGGCTACGATGGCATGCTTTCCCTTTTTGACAAGTGAAACTATGAGAGTATTGGATTTTCTATTACGTAATTATGCGCCGCCGGCATATTCCTTACAAGTTTCGCAGGGAAAGAGTGAGAAAATAAAGGAAACAATGGAGGATTATGATAAGCCACCCACGTTCATACACCTTACTCCCTCTTCGGTGTCAAGCGTATTTTTCTTGCGAAAGCTATGACCAATTACACTTAGATTAAGGAGCTACTAAAAAAGATGGAATCTTTGTTGGGGCTTTCGGTGGCCAGGGGAGGAGCTCAAAAAAAATGCAGCACGTAATAAATTTCTTTGGTGAATACTTTTGCTAATTGTTGAAGCAGACATATTGTTAAGGAGCACTAAGTATTAATTGAGAAAAATGAAAAAGTTGACCATCAATATCTCAAAGAATCCATCGGCAAGAAGCAAACAAAGTGACGCAACAATTCATAGAACTCGCAGAAACTTGATTGATTGCTGCGTGAAAGTGACGGTACACTCAATTTTCCAGCTGTAATCACGTTCGTTTAACTTTCAAATAAAGCTGTGGCAAATTTTATCCTAAAAATAGACCACTCTCTGTCAGAACCAACCCTTTGTGATGTTCAGACAAAGAGAGATTTCTTAAATTGTATTTCTGCATACCTTGCCGCCGTCTGCAATTCATCTGTCACGATAAGAACGCTACGGGTCGTCCAAAACAGAAATATATAACCCATACAAAAACAGGAGAGCTCCTGTCTTGACTGTTTTCTATTTCCTAGATGTGCGAAAATTAGCCTCAGAAGAAAGTGTTATTCCTTTGTTTCAGTTAAAGAAATGTAAATTTTACAGGCCATTGTCGGATGTCTGAAAGTGACAGAAAATCACAAACTCCAAAAAGTAACTTTTCTGTGCCCTTGTTCCAATAAATGAATCAATAAAAGACTTTAGGATAAGCAATTGAATTACTCAATATGTTTTCTTGGCTTTCCAGTCAGTTTTGACTGCGAGAAAATGTGTTGTGTTACAAATGCTCGACATCCTAATCCATTTGGTGTAAAGATTTAAAGGATAAAGGGATTATTAAATTGCATAAAATGGACTATCATCTGTTACAGATGTTATTAAATACTTTTATAATTACATAGCGTATCCATACAATTGTCCATGAAAGGTGAATTGGGCAACAAAGGATCTCAAAGTAAGTTCGAATCGCTTTACTGTTTGTCGAATACATTTCTGCCTAGTGCGCAGAGCTCCTTAGTACGGCAGCGACGATATTTTCTGCCAAACCTGTTCCTCATTGGCACCGCTTCTTTGATCTAAACATTAATCAGGGGAGATTAATGCCCCCAAAACTT